AGTATCAGAACAACTGAGAAGAAAGTCTCAAAATGAAATGTCTCTTTGTGCGCATAAATCTCCGTGTAAAAAAACCTGCACAATGTTTCATGACCAGTGTTATTACAAACTGTGCACACAAATTCAAAATATTATTGCTGGGACCTATAAAAGCGCCTGTGGAGAAACCAAAGGACCATATCTGCTTCAATACTCAATACACAATATGTCTCAGCATAAGTTTAGTCAAAAATCCACACATTATAATCAGATCGAATCAAAGATGTGACCAAACCAAAGAGTAACACAGTGTACTGAGAGAAAATAATTGTCCAACACAAAGGCTCGTCGGGCTGAGGTTTTGTCAAAATGTGGCCATTAATTTTAAGACATCAGATTACACTCATCCTAATTGAAGTCCACTCTAACATCAATCCAACATGCAGTCACCAGCCAGAATATGACGCAGAGCAGCTGCGGTTATTCACATGCTGGGTACATCTCTCCACTGCGGCACCGGACCTGTATTATCCTAATGGACAACGGCATGTTACTTAAAAAAGAAGCTTTTTAGGATAAAAACCAGGTCTCGAGAGACAACAATACACGCACACACACACACACACACACACGCACCACAGCTGGAGCGGCGAGGGATGGCCGCGCGCAGGAGAGCTTCTCCAAACACGCTAATTAGATCTCGAGCTCTGGCCCCGCGCTCTGAAAGCAGCCCAGCGGCGGGGCGCGCGGAGCTGTGGAAAGTTAATTGAATTAAATTCCCTCTAAACTAATTAGGCTGCAATCTGCCACGCGAGCTGTCCCTGAGCAAGGTTCGAATTAGGCGGAATGGATTTGTTCCTTTTCTTTAAAAGAAAGGAGGACAGACTGGTGTGTTTTTTGGTGGGGTCCTTTATTTGTCTTTTATGCTAATTCTCCCAGGGGACTGTCACGTGATTGCCTTGCGGTAACGGGACGGCATCCAGTGTGTGCACCGCCCCCCTCTCCCCAAAAAACTTACGTTAACACAAGAGTCTGATTTGACCAAACATGTAAAACCAAAATAAAAGCCTCATGCTGGCTGCCATAGCTGTGCTCTGCTTTACAGCTGCAGGGACGAGGAGCATCTTTAAACTGAGAGCAGAGAGGAGCACTAAGGTAATGGAGGTGAAATCGATCGCCTTCCTGGGGGAGCACAATGGGGAAGAGAGGGAGGGAGAGATGAGAGGAGTGCAGAGGGACACGGATGAAAATCCCCCGTTAAGAGCAGGGACAGATATGATAATGGGAGAGCCTCTAGTAGTCGTTCATCATTCACCACCTCCACCTGGCTGCTGCTGCCCCGGCATCCCACCGCTGCACAGCGACTGCCCTGAAATCAAATTCACCCAAACAGAGATTACAGGCAGCACAGCACATGAGCCAGATCTTACACATAATTACCCATTCAAGCACACAAACTGCAAACCCTCTGTGTGACACAATAAATGCTCTCCTTGTGTCATGAGGACTGTGAATTTGTTTTTTTAATTGATCAGGTCTTGATCAAAGTTTACAAAGGTTTACTGTCTTATCTGGATAAACAAAGCACCTCTCACATCTGGATGGATAGAGAGCTGTTCCACTCTGTTATCCAGATTACTCAATAAACCTTCTGGGTGGAACCACCCAGTGGTACTGCATGTAAAATGGTTTGGTTTTGGGGCACTGTTTTTTTATTTTTATTTTATTTGATTACTGAAAGTATAGAGATGAGAGGAAATGATGGGGAGAAAGATGGAGAATGGCATAGAGGTCCTAGTCCAGACACAAATTAGGGATGTAATGGTTCATGGTCAGCCAGGGTGCCCTAAACGGTTTCTGTCATTTGGTTAACAGCAGTTTGCAGGTGTTTATCAACTAAAGCCATGCATTGTTTCTTAATTTCTTGGCCCTGCTGGTATGGTGCATATTCCAAATCAAAGTACCACAAGCTGACACAGAAAGACTTAGGGTAAGGTAACATCGCCACAGTATAGGAGTACTGGTCAGTGTATAAAGTATAATGAAGCTTAATACAGACAGTACTAATACAAATGAGATGTCATTTCTCCCATCTTCCTCCTCTTTCTGTGTTTGACCTTTTTTACTCTCCTGCTCACTTCTCTTTTTTGCTTCTCTCTTGCACCTTCAACTCTCCTCCATCTGAATCAGCAGCAGAAGGCGGAGGAAGACACACCAGGACCAAGAGGGGACAGAGACAGACAGAAGGAGGACAGCAGAGGAATAGGGAGGGACTGAGAGAAAAAGGTGGAGGCAAGAGAGGGAGAGGCAGAGGGAGGGAGGTTAGGACGATGGAGGGCCAGGTTTCTGTTTCTCCATAATCTAATCAGAGAAATGGCAGCAGTCAGAAATAGCCTGACGGACAGACTAAGAGCCTCTTCTCTTTCTCCTCCTCCTCTTATTCTTGTCTTCCTCCTCGGGGAGGGTAAATGGATACACACACGTGAACGCACGCGCGCACACAAACACAAACACACACACACACACACACAGCCAGCTTGACTTCCTAAACCCATAAAGTGTAGATGTGTTTGAGGGTTATAAGAGATGGGAAAAGCCTTGAGGTATCACGGCAAAACTTGATCTACTGTCCAGATGCAGCCACTTCAAGAGTCCCCACATTTTTAAAAACCTCTGCTGGTCTGTTGCTCCTTTCTCTGTGGGCGTCAGGAGTTTACAGCATGCAGATGACATTTCAAGTTTATGACAATTTCATAGGGAAAGTTAACAGAATAACAGGAACATGGGTGGTAAAGAGGAGAAATGCTGTAGTTTCCCCTCTTTTCAGTTGCCAAGAAGCACAACTACTGATCAGACATCCTTTTGAGGACGTACTGAATATCAAACAAACAAGACAGCGGACGAATACACAAAATATAATGTGGTGTTCTGCTGAGGTGGATCTAGGTAAAAGGCACCATCCTTTATTGATTGCCATGATTGAAACTCCACCACTCATAAAGGAGATGGAAAATTAATTTAGCAGGGTTTCAAAGAGTTTTTTTGCCCACTATGAGACCATTGAGATGTGAAAGTGTAAATGGAAGAAAATTGGAAATTTTTATTATTGATTAGTTAGTTTATCTCTTTGATTAATCGTTGATGTCTGAAAATATTGAAAATTGGCCATCGCACATTACCAGAGCCCAAATAGCAGACCAACAGTTGAAAGCAAAGATATTTAATTTACAATATAAGGCAGAGTAAAGCAGCACATCCTCACATTAAAGCAGCCGGAATCAGCAAATGTTCTGCATGTCTGCTTCAAAATGCACAATAAACTGACTAATTTTCTGTCGACTAATTGACTGACCAATCATTTCAGCAATACAGAGAACGATTATTGTTACACTGTAAATCTGCTGCAGCAGGGAATGGTTTTAAAAACACTGCAGTGACTCTTCCTTCACTTCAGACAGCTGTGACTCTGTAAATGTGTGTGTGTGTGTTGTTGTTGGGGGGTCCAGGCGCAGCACAGTAAGAGTGAATGAGTCTTTTTTTCCCCTGCATGCTAATTCCTCCCTGCAGGGTGTGTGTGTGTGATGTCCTCTACATTTCTGTGGCTTTTACCACACTGCATTCCCTCCCGGTGTCCAACACAGACCCCCACACAGAGCAGAATTCCAAGGAAATTCCTCTGTCATGTTGTTTCACAAGGTGGACAAGCGTTAGTGTTGCAAAATTCCCACCCAGGCACTGGTCTCACACTCACACACGCACACATACACACCCATCAATCAGGAGTGTCAGTGCAAGACAAACAGGACAAAAACAGAGAAATTCCCTTTTTTGTTGTGATGACTTTATTTACATGGTGGAGGTTGGAATACAAGAATGAGAAATGTCGCTGTATTACATTTGACGCCTTGTCAACATGCTGTTCAAACATTTATGAAACAACACTTTGAATATTATTTCTTTATAACTCTAAATTTCTCTTAATGTCAGACAGACTGGGCTACACACACACACACACACACGACTTCTTTACATTAACATGCATCAACAGAGACGATTCACAAGGCAGTTATATTACCCATCGTTCAAACAGATTGCTGCTTGGTATTTCTCCACCAGCAAATTCTTTGCAGAAATGAAACGGGTATGCAGGTTGTGTTTGCAAACATTTATCAGTGAAGGTCTGCTGGTGAGGAGATGTGCAGTAAAGTGAAAACACAGGGAACAATCTGAGGCAAACAATCTTTGGTCTTTAAAACGTCCCTTTCCTTCACGGCAACTGGACAAAGTGGATTTTCTTTATCCAACTTTGGCAAAACATTTGTCATTTTTAATTCAAATGATTTCATAGTTAAGAGATGAAAGCTTTGCAACTAGTTAATGTTCTATCAATATCCATTAAGATTTTGTTTCCATTTGACATCCCCAGTCTCTGCCAAATTATGACAGATTCATTAGCCTGAAACTGCAATTCATCCTCTTGGTGTCAGATATACCATTCATTCATTTCCATTAACTTTTGTGTGTGTGTGTGTGTGTGTGTGTGTGTGTGTGTGTGTGTGTATATGTGTATATGTATGTATGTATATGTGTGTGTATATATATATCTCTTCAATAAATATTGTGGCTGTTTTCAGTGTTCTACATCATAAAGTGGACATTAACGTATCACTATGTCACAGCTAAATTGATTAACAGTAGGCTACTACAAACATTTTTCATCTAAAACAACGGCTTTGATTCACTGATGATGAAGATGTTTGATGTTGATGAAGCTGCACAGCAGCGCTGAAGCCCCTATGCTGCTACTTTTACAACCACACCTGCAACACATTTACTTCTTGACTTCCTGATATCGGTTCCAACTGAAATGAAAGTCTGTTGTAACAATAAACTTTAATGGTGTAGTAGGTTGAATTAATTTAATATTTGCAGGACACTGTTGGCAGATACTGTACTGCACATTGCCGAAATGCTGGCAAGCAATTACTGCATTACTGTGTACTGAAACAGGGAGGCAGTGATGTGTTTATTAGAGGTAATTTTATTGGTTACATCCATTCTCCTGACACTGTATGATGATGGTGATGTTGGCAAGTGTACATGTGTGCATAAATATCTGGATATATCCTGTGTGTTTCTTAGTGTTCGGGGCTGAGTGGTGGACGGATGTCCAGCATTCTCGATGAGCTGTCCTCTCCCACCACCTCAAGGCGCAGACTGGGCGTGCTCCGATCCTCCTGGTCCTCTGATTGGACAGACAGACGTAGGGTGCAGCCTTTGGGCAGCAGTTCCTGCTCGTATGCTGCAGCTAACTGGTTAACAACCCGCCGCTCAACCTGAGAGATCGGTGAGGCAGAGTTTAGGAAACTATCCGTTAACCAGAATATATTGTTTTGCCTTCTGTGATGTCTAAAGTTGTTGGACACTGTCGTAAATTGTCTATCATTGCCTTCTACATCTGCTGCTGCATCTATAGTAAGCTTTGCTGCCGAGTCCCTGAAACAACAAACAGGCCGATATTGGACATTTTTTAAACTACTGAAAACCAGTCATTGTTCTCTGTTGAGAGGACGCTCTTCTCTGATCAAATATGTACAACAGATTAAGTATCTACACACTGAAAGCAAAATTTACAACTCAATGCATGCAGGCATGTGATTGGCAAAGGACAAAAAAAGCATGAAAATATACAGAGCACATAGCAAAAAGAGAGGAATAATGAAAGGAGATGTTTATGGTGAAATTCCCAAGCTGTGTTTATACTGACCTATTTTTTTTTACAGATCTGCATGATTCACATGGGGTCAGATTTTCAGGTGGGAAAAATCTAGAATAATTCCATGGCGATGTCTTAAATTTTGGTCAACACTCAAGATTCAGTTGTTTGACATTTTAATCAATAACCATTGCCACTGACATCTAGGGATGTGGTGCAAAGGCAGTCATACACGCAGTCAGTCAGGTTTTACACCAAACCACAGTTTAAGAATATTTTCTTAACCACTTATTTGGGAGTGAACACAAACATTAAATTAATACTATGCATTTAAAAATGTTAATGACAATTAAGTGTTCCAAATCCAAATGTAAGAAAACATGTTTTGTACAGAACCCAACAAAGTCACATGATGATTCCAATATTTTTTTTTTAGTAAAAATGAAAATTATGATGCAAAAATCGGTCAAAATAATCGAAAAGAGACAGTTAAAAAAAAACCAATGCATTCAATACCATTTAAAGCCTTGAGAATAGATAATAATATTTTTTAGACAACCTGTCTGTGTGTTATAGTAACGGCATACCTCATGTTTGATGGAGCGTGCTCCGTAATGCATGTTATACCCGCCTGCCAACAGGTCCAGAACTGGGCGATCCCACTGAAGAGTGATGTCGTGGCGCTGTTTAGCCTAATGACAGGGAACGGGGGGAAATAGAGAGAAAGAAGAGAAGAGGTTAATTGGGTGTGTCGATGTTAAAAAGGGAGAATGGGGGCGGTACCTTCAGAATATCACCAACAGTAAAATCAGAAAGAGGCGATGGTGGCAGATAGACAGGAGTAATGAGTAACGATATTGTGAGAAAGAGACAAATGCAGAGGCAGGGAGGAGATACTGTCACACAGCATGTCTGCCAGTGCTAATCAACAGGCCCTTAATGCGTTTTAATCAAACACCAGTCAATAGCAGCGATCAGACCTGCTCATTTAGCTACTGATGTTAACACTCCATTCAATAAATACAATGCCAGGTTTTACTCAAGAGATATAAACACTAATATTACAACATTACAAATACCATATTAAGGAAATAATGATAGCACTGAACATTTAACTTATTTAATATAAATGAGTGACAAAGTAATGGCTCGTGAGGATTCTGTAATAATGAGATTTCATGCTGTAAGCACGGCTGCCAAATACAGACAGAGACAAGTTATCAGCAGACATGAACACACTTATAAAATTAAAGACAACGGGAACACTAACAAACATAACACACAGCAACATTCAAAAGACAAAAGCACACAGTGAGAGTCATGAGTCAGGTCCCTATCAGTTGCCTGCAGGGCCCATGTTGGCTGTCAGGACACCAGCCGTAATATTAATAATTAAATATTGATGAAGGCTCCACATGTTAAACACTGTAATCACATTATAGTGAGTAGTAGTGGCACATAATATTGATCTGCGTGTGTTTCTGCACAGCTCAGCGGCTGCGGGATGAGGTGGGTAGGGCCTTCCAGTCCTCCTGGAGGACACCCATATTATAAATGTAGGGTGATGTGAAGATGGGCCTCAGATACACACAGACAGCCTTCGTTGAGCCTGCTGTTGTGATGATCTCTTCTCTCAAACAGTAAAGTATAAAACAATAATGTGAACTCTCAAATAATACATACTATAAAGCAGGGTCAGGGGATTGTTTCATTGATAAAATAGTTCACAGGCTGGTGGTGTGAACAGTCCCACGATACTTTTCTACTACAGTTATCAGAAACTATTTGTTAATATCAGCAATAATAGTTAACATTTTTGATAACAATTTTAAAAAATATATAACATGTACATTGTGATGTGATTTGCCCGTGCACGTAGTGTTATGTACCTTCTTGGCCCAGAAGCTGAGCTCTTTGCTGACCAGCTGTAGCAGCTCTGAGTGACAGAATGGCAGGAAGTATACAATTTCATTGATCCGACCGAGAAACTCGTCCCTCCGGAAATGAGCCTGAAGTGGAACCAAAGAATTAGCAATGATAACTGTCTCAGGCAAATTACAGTAAACTGCTGCATTGTCGGTAATTACACCAAAACAGGGTGGGGCTTACCTGTGTGTGTGTGTGTGTGTGTGTGTGTGTGTGTGTGTCTTTGTGTGCGTTACCTTCAGGATTGGTCGAATCACAGATTCTTTAAACTGTCGGGAGATTTTGATGTCATCACTTTTCTGTACATCCGCTGGGGAAAAGCACAACATCAGCATTAATTTCACATTTTATTCGCCCGTCCTTTGGTTACCCGATGGCTCCGTAAGTCTTTTACAGAGTCAAATTACTAGAGTATGTGTTTGCCAAGATACTGTATGAAATACTGTGACAAGTCGTGACTGTAATTTTAATAAATAACACCACTGGACAAACAAAATGATTTGACCATCCCTCACGTCTTATCATCAACATTTTAATCTACATCAACTGATGAAAGTGGAAAGTAATGTGTCAGATTGGGTTTTAATGGGTTCAATGTGCAAATTCATGCATTATCGTCTTCGCATTTTTAAGTACGTGTGTGTTTCTCTCACCAAGGTTGTCGGCCAGCTTCCTGCGGCTGACCTCCTCAGCTTCCTGGCGAAGCTGCAGTGCATGCTGGGCGATGTCATCGCTTGCGACGTTAGATGTCATGATGAAGATAGCGTCTTTACATTCGATGGTCTTCCCCTTACCGTCTGTGAGGCGACCCTGAGAGCAACAGCGGGAAGGACAGAGGGATCAATTCCTGCAAATGTTTTATCAAACAGAAACTTCATAAAGGTATAATAATGTACGCATGTGTCTGTGTGTTTGTATACACACCTCATCAAAGAGCTGCAGCATGATAGTAAGAACGTCAGGGTGGGCCTTGTCTACTTCATCAAACAGGACAACGGCATTGGGACACGCCTTCAGCAGCTTGGTCAGCTGACCCCCTTCCTCATGTCCCACGTATCCCGGTGGGGAGCCAATGAACTTTGCCACCTGAGAGAAGAGGAAGAGAGGGTGCAAAATAAACAACGTAGCACAAAAAGTATTTTACCAAGATCACACATAACCTTTAATGTTTTCTATGCAGAAATCCACAAAAGTTAACACTGAATAAAAATGCCGAGTTGAAATGACTAGTTCGTGAACGTCATACGTAACATAACGCAACTCTGATTCACTGATTAAATATATTCATCACCAAAGCTTCACCAAGAAAAAGCAAAATAGGGCAAAAACAACATTAATTTTATTTTGGTTCATTCCTCCATTATGAGCATGGATAAACAGAATGAATCTAATGCGTCATTGCCAGCAGATTGATGACGCTGCAAGCAGATACTCTGAAATTAATGAACTTCTGTTACAGCAACATATTCAACACAGTATGTGTGATTCAGGCGGTCCAACATCCTGATTTCACACTGATGTATTTGGGTGACAGGTGAACAGCAGCTTACCTCGTGTTTTTCCTGGAACTCGGACATGTCCATACGGATGAAACCCTGCAATCACACGATGGATTAACCTCCCCAAGAGACACAACATGCCGCTGACTCAGTGTGTATTTTCGTGTTGGACATGTGCTGCGTATCACCATGGAAACAAACACAAATTGAATTCTCTGTAATTAATTTCTTCACTAAATTAAATGCCTGTGTTTTATATCTATGAGAGGAACTTTTTTCACCAATTTACTGAATGTTAAAACACCCGTGTGTGTGTGTGTCGCTACCTTTTTGATGTCCTTGTGCATGTAGCGAGCCACCTGTTTGGCCAGCTCTGTCTTCCCTGCGACATCCGGTCAGACAAAACAGAGACATCATTTGATTATTCAGTTTCAAACAGGAACTGCCTCCATTCAATTATTTCTTTATATATATATATATATATATAAGCAACCAAACAATCCCTGCTTTATTGGAATACATCAGTATGCAGAGATTTCAGGAACTCGGGAAAAACAAACACACTCATTTCAGACAGAAAGACTATCTTGCTCCTTCTCTAAGTGCCGGTCTAAATCCCACTGCCTCCCTCTACAAAGCTTTCAATCATCTCCTGCTCTCCAGAAGCACACATTATGTTTGTCGCTAAAATATTCTGCATATAAATGCTCATATATGATATTGATGTCTTGTGTTTGGTATGCATATGATGTGTGTGTGTGTGTGTGTGTGTATGCGCCCGTGTCTTGTTGCTGTGTTTAATATTGATGTCTCATGGCCACTGCTTGTCGCTGAAGGCAACAGAGAATATGAACACCGTCTCTCCTTCATCTATCTCTCCGGCCTGTCATTTCACAATCTCCCTCTTTTTTAGCCATCTATCTGGCCCTTAATATCTCTCCTGTCTCCCTCCTTGCTTCACTAACATGCGACACACACACACACACACACACACACACACACACACACACACCTTCATCTTGCTACTGCTAAAACTAATTCACTTTTGATATTTGAATCCTTTTTTAGATAATGCTCGGCATTTGTGCCTTTATTCTGACAGTTAGTGTGAGAGACAGGAAATGTGGAGAGAGAGAGAGGGGTATGGCTTGCAACAATGGTCCCTCCACTCGAACAGTTATGTGGTACAGTAGACATTTTGTAGGGTGTACCTAAAGTGTATGATATGTACACATAGAGGGGAATGTCAGTGTGATCCAGACAGAATCTCGACAGTCTCAAATCATCCCCACCATCCCCAGTCGATATAATTTATTGAAACCGATGGCTGCTGTTGTTTTGTTAGTGCTGCTTGGCGTTTCATTCACTGTCATTGCCGTGCGTCAGAAAGAGTTTCCACTGTTTTAAAGTGCAACCAGCTGTTTGTCTTAACCTAGAGCTCAGTGGGCTGCAATATTATCAAAGATTAAAAATGGAATGCAACAATTAAAACCTTGATCAGTCTTGCAGATGCTGCAAACCCACTGTATGAGCATCCTGATCATGTACGTAGATTTTGTGTGTTGTGTATTACTGTGTAGCAGTATCATGTCTGTAGTTTCCCTGGTTGGAAATTGATTCATTATATTTATTATGCCCTGAGGAAAGCTGACTGACAAGCGAGCCAATCGGAGCCATTGTGGGTGGGACTACATTGGGTGACACTGCCAAGCTGTTCCTGGCTCAGACAGGTTGTAGCGTCTTAAATGTTTGCAGTCACGGTTGTTAATAACTGCTCGTGATATGAAAGACTGCATGTAAACATAGAATACATAAATCACATTAATGACCTTTCCCTATTCCAACTATCTACTCACATAATATGCCTGTTCATTTTAATAACACTAGAAACTTAAGAAAAACAGCTGACTCGGGGTGGGAACAGGGCTAACATTAGCTAATAGGTTAGCTTACTGTTGCAAACATTAACACTGGCCTGCCAACCTGTTACTGTGCCGGCTGTAGGAATCAAATGTACACTAGCTTTGTCAAGGAGGCACTGTCTCTGAAAAACGTCTCGTCTCAGTTTGCATGTTTTTAAATCTTTGAATTAAAATAAAAGATTCTTTGTCTTGCAATTAATCAATTCAATAAGCAGATGTGAGAAACACTCAAAAATGCTGGTTTAAATGACTCTGCTTTTTCATTCACTGAAGACGCTGTGGAGTTACTACAGTTGGTGGAGTTCCTTGTGTATTTTGTTTCTTTTGAAGTCAGATGCATTCAACAAGCTTCAGAAACTGAACTTACTCAACTGTTGTGTTTATTTTGGCAGCTACTTCTAGGAAACTGAAGAGGGTTTTTTTGCCATCACTTCAAACTACAGAGGAAGTGTTGGGTGTGAAATATGATGATTTACCAATTCCTGACGAGCCGAGGAATAGGAATACGAGAGGATGCTCTTCATCGTACCAACCATTCTCCTTCCTCCTGATGGCTACAGCGTGCAGAGAGAGAGAGAGAGGGAGAAAGAAAAGGATACTATTATTTCACTCATTTGCATTAGTTGACTTTCCTTTTGCAAGTTTCACCCAACTGAACGAAGTTGACATGAGGGCGGCGGGTATGCCAGAAACTATGATAAAAGAGTGAGAGAGCAGGGATGAGAAAAGGGTCAGAAACATTTGGTGGAGAGAAAAAACAAGAGGAAGGAAGAGAGAAAACAGAGCAAGAGAGAAAGATGAGAGACCTCCAGAAAGCTACACACGATGCCTCTCTTCCCCCCCCTCAGTCGGTGGGGCCATTAGCCAGCAGTAATTGTGTTAGCCTCCCTGGCGCGGCCATGGCGAAATCAGTTTAGCATGGATTGTAGCCTCACACACACACACACGCATGCTTAAAGAGGAGTGCCTACCCAACCCTGCCATCACCCCAGCAACCACACTCACACACATACAAAAAGACAAGATGATGAGGTGGGTCGGAGGGGAGTAAAGAGTGTATTTTGGCCGTGGTTTCAACCACTCGACGAAGAAGCAGACGCTAGCACAAACTCATCCAAATCTGAAGCTGTTGAGAGGCCGGGGGCCAAAACCAGGGCCACAGATGAGCAGGATCAAAGCAAGTCGGTGGCGCAGTGGCTTATTGGTTAGCACCGTTGCCTTGAGCAAAAACACGTCCTGGGTTTGAATCCTCTAGCAGAGTGGCGTTGTCAAGTTTCCTCCCAGAGTCCAGTGACATTTATTTTAGATTAAATGGAAATTGCTCACAGGTATTGTGGGAGAAGAAGGTGTGAAGAAGAACTATTTGTAAGTGGTTTGATATATGGGTTTTACAAGAGGTGCCGCAGAGCCCTCTGGATTAGGTTGTTTCGGGTTAGGACATAGCCGGAGCTACAGATAAGATAACCTTGAGAGTGTCCACCTTTGAGAAACGCTTGATGCACCTACTTGTCTAAACCTCTTTGTTTTAACAACTAGGTGCTTTGTCCTGTATCTTTAAGTTTTGGTATGGCTGCCTACATGCTGTGCCTTCTCTGTTAACAGACCTGTGTTGTATTAAACTCATATACTGTAAAACTTAAATTAATAGCCTTGGGGGTTTTTTCGCTTTTATCACTGAACTTGCCCTATATTTAGGACAGGCGTTTTTAAATTGTCCATTTTAAACCAGTATGAATATTACTTACTTAATAAAAATTAGGCTATCAAACAATGTATCAATTACAAATCATTTATTTCATCTAGCTCAGAGAGACAGCACATTTAGGCCAACCTCAGGTAGAGAGAGAGGTAGAGAGGTAGAGAGAGAGAGAGGTAGAGAGAGAGAGAGGTAGAGAGGTAGAGAGAGAGAGAGAGAGAGAGAGAGAGCGCGCCCTGTATCAAAATACCTTAAAAAAGGATGATGGACTGGTCTAGTGATGTGAAATGATTAAACATTTATCATCCAAAAAACTATAAAGACCAGAACCGGCATTTATTTGTCAAAACATGTAGCCACACCAGTTAAGTAAAAGGGACCGGTGTCTAATTGGGACTTTTAACTGAAGTTTTATGGTACTCAAATGAGGCTCTTTGGGTTATTCTTTTATTCATCAAGGTCATAATCGACATCAGGTAAGAATGTGACCGTCTCAGGTAGCCTGGCAACCTGTTCACAGTGTCCCCCACCTTTAGGAGCTAGCAGTCTCCAGCCCCTAAATCAGTGAGCAGGTATCAAAATGGATGGATGTATCCTAATTGGGTCATTCAGGTATGTTAGCGTTTCAGTCCTGATGAAGCCAAAATGACCACAGTTCCCTTTATGAGCTATGCACCTGCTGATGCAGGCAGACATGCTGCAGAGCTGGTATACCAGTAATCACGACCATTTTTTTACTTCTTTTACACGTTATCATTAGGAGCGAGGAGGGAAGTTTACAGGATCCTGTATATCCAATAAATGTAGCTTTTCTTGGGGGTAATTTTTAGGTAATAAAGTTTCTTAACGTCTTTACACAGAAACACATATCAGCTCCACTGAACATAAATGCTGTTTATTTTTGCTTTAGAGATTTGAAATATTTTAAACACAAAATATTCAACACATGATGCTGTTTCGACATCAACCATCAGCCCCAACCATAAAACCAATGTTCATTATCCAGAAAACACCATATTAGGGGCAATTAGTAAAATTATTAATACGGTATGGTTATTTTAATTGATATAAGCCATTTTAAATAACAATTTTCAGTGTTATCCATGTTAATACTGCCACCTCAGGCCAACTTTGGAGCCACAAAACATGCAACCATATGACGTGAACCCGGCCCTCCTCTCTCCCACACTAGGTCTGTCACCTCTAGATTGTAAATGTAAGCAGTTCAACCACACAGTCCATCCTGCACCTCTTTCACATCTGAAAACCCAGTCCGTTTGAATCTGACAGGCGCGAACACAACTTTGTAAAAGCCTTGACCAAATAATGCTGGTGAAGGTTTAGCAGGCTGGTAAATGTTATGTTATGCCACATTTGTCTTTTGCTTTCAGGCCAATTTTCACACACCTGCCTTGTATTTTTTCCACTGCCTTTACAATTTCTCGCCAATTGCCCCCTAAAGACAGCATAATCCCCGGCATAAATGTTTTATAGTTAGCGACACAGTTTGAGATAATGAGTAAGAGGTGTCAGTTTCTTGGCAAGTTGTTGTGTGCAGCCAGGACAGGATAAGTGGCAGGAGAAACGGTGTGGCCAAGTTGCTAAAGAGAACCCAGAGTGTCGAACAACAGCCACAGTGTGTGACCTGTCAAAGCACCTTTTACACACATTCATTGTGATCTGCTGCAGTAAGAGGCCAGTGGCTCTGTGTGCGATTCAGCGAAGCTAAAATACTTTACAACACACAGGAGTGTTAAACTAGTTACTAATAGCTGATAATCGTAAAGAGGAGGTGCTCGGCAGGAGAGGAGTAGGACAGGCAGAATGAGGGAGGGAGAGAGATGGCGAGGCGACATGGTAGAGAGGTAAGCAGCAGCAGCAGGAGGAGTGCAGATGAGGAGGTACGGATGTGGAAGGAGATAAAGAGGGGAATGAGAGAGGAGTGATGGAGATAAGGAGACAGAGAACGAGGTAGAGAAACAATCGAGTGTGTCAGAGATGGACACAGAGATGAAAAGTGACAAGAGGGGCTCCAAAGCTCCGTCTGCTTTCTCAACGGCCGTGTGGATGACCTTCTCTGTGTTTTTAGCTGATTGAGACTGACTTTGACAGAAGGGCACATTGACATTTCTCAACAAGGAAAGGAAGGAGAGACAAAACAAATGAAAGCGCTCGCTCTCCCTCTCTCACATGCGCACACACACACACACACACACACACACACACACACACACACACTCTCTCGGAGCAGTGTGTATTGGGCAGGTCTGGTTGGCTCTAACATGATTATAGAGGGATGATTCTCTTCAATAACTCTTAGCCCTGAGAGCTAAACCTGGATCAATCTAACCTCCTTCCTGTGTGTGTGTGTGTGTGTGTGTGTGTGTGTGTGTGTGTGTGTGTGTATCTTGCTACAGGCCAGCTGTTCGTCATGAGTAGTTCCGGTGGAAACAGCCATTTTGGAGACATGACACACCAAATGCAAAATAAATAAACTTTTTCTAATTGCTTCATCTATCCTTTCTGCAGTACATCTAGATCACTAATTTTTAAAACGTTTAATTGATTAGTAAAAGGCAGATATAAAATTGACTGTCAACAACTTGGATAAACGATTAATCGTTTAAGTAATTTATCAAGAAAAGAAATGCCATTTTCTGCTTCTCAAATGTGATGATCTGCCCTTTTCTCCAATTTATGTCTCTGTAAAGTAACTTTCTTTGGGTTTTAGGACAGTCGGTCACACAAAACTAGCAATGTCAAGGGATAACCTTGGGCTCTGGGAAATTTTGGTGAAGTGATGATAGAATTTCCTGTCTAGAATCGAACCAGGAACGTCGAAGTTTTAACCACTCAACCACCAGGATGCCCCTGTCATGAACATTTTTCACTATATGACATTTTACTGACTAAATGATCAATAAAAAATATAAACAAATGAATGGATAATGACAACAATCAGGAGCTGCAGTCACATAGATTGTATTGTACTCATGATACTCTACTGTAGTAGTAAAACATGTTGTTGTATGTGTTGCTTCTGTGATTACATCATCTGGTCATGTGCAGCTCCCTCTTCTCTCTTTATCTCGTTCACATCCCGTTCTCATTTGTTGTCTCCTTATCTAGAGTATATCCCTTCCTCTCTTTCCTGCTCCATCTCCTCATCTCTAAACCTCTACGTCCGCCACTCGCCGACTCTTTGGCTGCTTCCTGCTCAACTCACCTTTGATAAAGGTAAAGTATAAATGTACAGTAGGTGACATGTTTTTGAAAATATTTATATAGATGGATCCTGTCTGCCACTCTGCCTCTTTTAGGCATCCCACATGTCCTCTTGCTGGCTTTCAGTGTGTGTGTGTGTCTGATATATTCACTTTAATACTTCTCACAGATCAATAAGCTGTTCCTTTATCACTGTGGCGATGTCTTCTATGGCTTTCAGGACAATTTGCCATGATAACAACAATCATTCATCACCTTGCCAAAGACTACAAGCCCCACAATTCTCTGTTCCTTCACTGATTCCCAGCAGAACCTCCATACTTGACACTTATGACTACTGCTACAATCAAACAGCATCACTGTTTGTTTTTTTTATCTATAGTTTGTATTTACAGAAGTGTAGTTATGTATTAGTTTTATTTTTTAAATTTTTTTATGAAGCCTCAAGGCAAAAATCCAAGTTGTTCTCCTGTTGGTTATAAACTCTGCAGTATTTGCTCTCACAAGAACATTACAGATTATAATATCTGCTTCTAGCTTTAGAAGAGAGTTGATTATTTTCACAAATCTGTCCAAGATCATAAAAAACAACAACAAAAAAAAAAAATCACACACACATACACACGCACTCTCTTGCCCATCTACGGATCAATACATGGCCTCCGTGGATGCCTGGTGTAATATCAGCCTCTTTACTGTCTGCTGTGTTATTGTGCTCTAACTCATCCTCCCTCCTCTCCTCCATGCATTACACTCGCTCTCTTTGTCTTTCTGTCAATGCTCAGAGCTTTCTGGTTCTCAGCTACTTCTCTGCTATCTTCCCCCATCAGCGCTCCTGCCTCTCTTTTTTTGTGTTTCCCATAGCCTCCATTTGTTTTAGCCCCATCTCATCTGTTTTTCCCTTCCTGTCTCCATCACTTAGCCTTTTGCCGGTCCGTCCCTACCTCCGTGTGTTTCAAGGAGGGGGAGATGGACGGCATATAGCGGAGGAACGATGATGGAAAGACGCAGAAGGTGGAGGGCACAGAGTGAAAGCAGGGTCGGACAGAAGGGCGAAGGAGAAGGAGTGGGTGTGATGAAGATCGAGGGGGTAAAAGGGGGAGGGATGGAGGGAGAAACTGAGGAGAGAAAAGCAGAAAGAGGTAGAGAAAGGAGGAGGAGAGGGTGAGTCTGTAGTATGTCTCTCTCTGTAATCACGTTAACTGGCGGCTCCAAGCCTGGCCTCATCAGCTGTCACACACAAACACACATGTACACAGCACCTGTGTATGCCTGACAGACAGCTCATTCATCACAATTAACCAATTACAGCCTCCGCCAGTCTGTCTGAACCCGCCTACTGCGGGAGGGAAGGGAGGAAAGCAGGAGAGAGGAAATGGAAGGGGAACAGAAAACAGAAAAAGAAAAGCAGCGTGGAAACAAAGTGGAGGAGGAGAGCAAGTGGTTCATGTGCACTTGATATTTTTGTGGCGTTTGGTCATTGTGTACGCATCCGTTTAGCTGCATGTATAATATTCATGTGTGTGTGTTTACCTGAGGCCACAGTATTGATGGCCCCCTCCTGTCCGATAATGTGCTCCTTCAGCCTCCTCTCCAGGGGGAACCTCCTCCTCTCCTCCGCCTCCCGCCTAGCCTGCGCCTCCTGGAACTAGACAGAGGTAAAAAAAAAATAAAAAAAGACGCACATGCAGAAAACAGATGAGACAGTCAATGAATCAGAAAGAGACATCTGAGGGAGTTCACAGAGGTAAGAAATAGACTCTCAAGGGAAAAACACGTCGAAGAGTTTGCAGGTCTGCCCCTCTTTACTCCTCCATCTCTAAATCATCCCTTTTTCTTTTGACCACCCTTGGCAACTTTACATTGCTGCTGCAATGACACTGAAACAAGAAATGAGTGAGCGGCCAAACACCGATGCAACAATAAAGCTGTTCCTCCCCTTTACTCCTATTGTGTTTTTTTGTGGACTTGTTCCTTATCTATGGAAGCTCTAAGCGGCCATCGATTCATATCTTTATTTTACTCCGTTTTCCCGTGATAACGAGATCATTGTCTCGTGATCTCGAGATAACAAAACAGTAGTTTAACACAGGGGTAAAGGTCAAGGTGGTTTTAGAGTCACTGCTTAACTCAGTGGGTAAGGTATAGTCTTAAGATTATGAGTTTGATCCTCATGGAAGACCAACTTTAAAAAAAAAAAAAAATCTTCATATTCCTTTTCAGCAAAGTTGTTATGAAGATGAAGATTCACCCTCAACCCTTTGACTGATCTTTGTGATCTGTAGCTATATAAATAAAACTGACCTGACTGGACTCTTAAACTCAAGGAAATGATTTTGTTGATAAAAGATATTAAACAAGAAATGTGATCTTGGCACAGAAGATGCCTAGCAGAATAAGTTACACACACTCTCAAAACGTAGGATAAAGTAACTGAATAACCACATTTCAGTTAAGCAAACTTTGGGTTTCACAGGGTTGAAGTTGTGTGTTTACACCTGACTTTTGTTACTTGGCTTGGCTGCTAAATAATGGTTATAAAAAAATAAATTTATATATGTATTGTTTTATTGTAACTTAGGTGTGTAATCTTTTAAAACTGTAGTGAAACTTTTAAAATGCATAAATATTAACCACTCCATACCTCCAACTTCATCTGCCACTTAAAATAATTTCCAGGAGCTAGATGCTCTCCATCTTCCTCCTCTTTAAGACACACTACCTCCCCATTTGCTTTTTCCTCCATCTACAACACACACTTCTTCTTTTCTGCTGATTTGATCTCCCTTTCCACGTCTCTACTCCCCTCTCTCTCTCTCTCTCTGCTCAAATCATTTCTTCCCTCTTATTTTCATGTCTTACTTTCACACTTCCGCATCAGTTTCTCTACCTCGTACTTTTCTCGCATCAGCCCCATGACTCACTCATCCTCTCCCCTTTGTCTCCTCAGACTCCAGGTTTTCACCCTGCAGTGGAGGCAAGCTGTTAATTCTCTCTCTCCATCTTGCTTAGCTCTGGCCTGCTGTCAAGCTGCTAGATAACGATGGATAACTCGAGTTTTATTTAAGAAAAGAACAGACCCCACTTCTACTACTATACATCTGTGAAATCCCAAGAACCGGGAAGGGAGGAGTCCCTTCAGTCAGCTGATTCTGTAGCATTGTGCAGTTAAAACCTCAACCTTAAATCACAGTTTAACGATAGGAAAAAGCACAGAGTTCGAATTCTCTTACAGTTTGCTGAAAGCATTATAAATAATAAATAATTCAACTTGAGTGCTGTCTTTTTGAGATTTTTGGGGTGTCAGATTCATCACCAGGCTATGCATAATGGAGCTATGTGCACTTATTTACTTTCAATTTAACGTAAAAGGCATTAAAGGATAATTTTGGTATTTTTAAACCTGGGCCCTATTTTCAAATATTTTGGTGTTGAAATGACCAGAAAGTTTTGAAAGTTTTGGAATCCATGCAGTAAATGGCTTCAGCTAGCAGCTGCAAACCGCATGCAGTGGCTGCAACGTATTCCAATTCCAAAATTACATCCACAAAAAGTGCTTCCTTTTGTCACTGATAGGCTCAGACTGTGGAGGTGACTGACAACATGGAAAAGATCCCTACAAGAAACAGAAGTCTCGCTCAAAGACAATTCTCACTCTGAAATCTTGTGAGGGGAGAATTGTTGCAGGAAAATGACGGTAGAAACGCGAGTCAGTGTGGAATAACAAAGTCTTGCTAGCAGTTCCTCTACTTACACAACTGACTCCTGTCCCTCATTTCCATCTGCGTTTCCTGCAACAGCTCGCCTCCCACGAGATTTCAGAGCGGCAAAATTGCCCCGTAGGAATATGTTGCAGCCACTGCAACCAGTTTTCAGCTGCCTGCTGTATTCAACATAGTCACGAACAATGCTCTGTAGAGCAGTTTGTCGATTTGGGCTACTGTAGAAACATGGTGTCGCAACATGGTGACTTCCGTGTAAGGGGACCCGTGGTATGTGTAGACAGAAATGGCTCATTCTAAGGTAATAAAAACATAACAGTTCATTATGTAGGGTCTTTATACACCACCAAAAACATAGTTATGTATATTATATTGCATTTCTGTCAGTATATCCTCCTAAATATTCAACACTGAACCTTTAAGACCTTGTATAAGCTAATTCAATACAATTCCAGGTTATTTCCCATATTACAAAATCTTTATAAAGTTGATATATAATCCAATTTTACTCATCAGCACATTTTCACCCCAGTTAACCTCCACCAGCTTTCACAATTCTAACACTCAATAGCACCTGTCACTCAGTCACTAGACTGACACAGACCTCCTGAGGAGTGTGTGTCTGTGTGCAAGTAAATGACACAGATGTCTGCTGGATGATTAGTGCTGAGTTATTCAGACCAGGCCACAGGAAACAACTACAGTATCAAAACATTAGTGTGTGTGGAAACTGATGTTTTAATTGCTTGCTCATTCTGAACAGCTTGTATGGAAGCACAACAAAATTAGCGTAGGCGTCTGTATGAGTGTGATGAGTGTGTCAGACCTTGCCCTCCCACTCCTGCAGTGCTGTGCTGACTTCTCCCTCCTTAGCATAGGCCCGTGCTGTGTGTCCCAAACCATTGGTCTGCAGGGGGTTGGCACCTGTATGCAAGCATGCAACACACACACACACACACACACACACACACACACACGTACAGTTCATAATTAGGAATTAGGAAAATGATCTAATAATTTGTAGCCACTCACAAAATGGTCAAAACTAACTGGAATTTTTTTTGTTTGAAAAATGTCTTCATCTTGTTTTGTTGAATATGCACACACCACGTCAGCAGGAGGGTCCAAACGTCGATCGAGAGTGAGGTTAGTGGTGAGAGGTCACATGGGTTCAGGGGTCACTGAGACTAACTGCAGTGAAGCAGGAGGACCGTGCAATGACATGGTAGGGGGTTTCATATCTGCAGCACGTGCCGATAACACACGCTTTGACCCCTACACCCACACACCAACTTCCTGGATTATAATGCAATCTATACACACTGCAGGTTGCTGCAGGTTGGGGGCCCACAGGCAAACACACTTTCACACAGCAGGAGGAAACATTTTGTTAAACAGACGATATTTAAAAAGGGGTCAGAGTATAAATGAGGGGACATAATGGTGTAGTAACTGTGAAGTGTGCCAGGACTGGACAGTTGTTGGCTTGTCAGTGAAGGTGGTTAGCAGTGCCTTCTTGGTCAAAAAAAAAAGAAAGAGGAACAACTGGTTTTGTCTTTGTTTAATGAACAAAAGGGTTATTAAAAAAAGTTACATTCAATGAACAAAAGTGCTCTTGGGAGTCTAGCACTATAAATGTAACAAGAAAGGAAAAACCCAAAGTGTGTGTGTGTGTATAAATAAATAAAAGCCTTTAATGTTTCATTTCTGACACCAATGCATTTCTGCTTAAAGCCTTTGTCAGGGTGAAAGTTGGTTCTGAATGAGTAATCAGATTTGTACTCTTTATTACTAATTTTTTTATCTCACAGGTCTCTGATTTCTGAACATTTTGATTTAATTTTGGACAGTAATTTATTTAGGCAACATTTAACATTGGAGACGTTTGAGCACCGCTCAGGTATTGTGTCAGCGTAAGTATAGAAAATTTCAAACCACACCCTGTAACAGCCGAAATTGTTAAATGTGCCTTTAAGATACTGTGTTGCCGATACGAGAGAAACGTCATCACACAGCGTGTTTCATCCCACTGATGAACACAATGCAACACTCCAATTATACACGCATTTCTCTGACTTACTCAGACCTTACTGGCACCACTGGATACTGAAACAAGTTTTTGTACAGTCTGAGGTCTTAATGCAATGTAAGACACTACTGACACTCATGAGAGGAAGCACAGGGGGAAAAAAAACTGTGCGAACTCATTGGAGTGACATGAAATGTGTCACTTTAATGATCAGGGAATACATTGAATACTCTCTGTTACAATATATAAAGTGATTAAAATAAATCACTGACAAATTGTAAGGGGAAATACTACACATTGGGTGTGTTAAGGGATATATTAAGGTCTCAACGGCACCCTTTCAGTCAATTGATGAGGGCAGACATTTGTACCAAATCTGAAAATGATGCACACAACTACATTAGTGACCGCTGCACTGTGTGTACAGGATACTGAATGGTCCATTAAGAACCAGATGACCCATCTGAAGTTTTTCTGAGTAAGCTACACTCTGTAACAGTGTATGTAATCAATGCAGGTGCTGCCTGTTCCTATTGCTCTGAACAACATTATCGATAAACCCCTAAAATTTTGTGACCTATCGATCCCGACAACAATACACCTACTAACCCCCCCACCAGCCTAAAAACATGAGGGAGAAAAGCAATAAAGTACCCACACACTCACACAGAGACACTGGACATAATAAATAGCATCATTTAGGGCTTTAATATCAGGCCAGCCCTCTGGGCCATAGCACTTTATAACAGGATCAACACTAACGACACAAACAGACACACACCCCAGCTGAACATTCACACACACACACACACACACACACACACAGGATCCCTTCATTAGGAGTGCTTTAGTTATGCCTATTAGGAGTCCCCTCCTCTTTCCTATTTCCTCCTCCCTCTCTTTCACTGCAGCTGGTGGGAGAGAGCCCCTGCTGGTCTTGTGTGTGTGTGTGTGTGTGTGTGTGTGTGTGTGTGTGTGTGTGTGTGTGTGTGTTGTATTGTGTGCATCTGTGAGCATGTGTGTCTCTTCTGGCCTCCCACCACCTACGGAGCCGTCCATTACGGAGTGCCCCTGGCCACGGGCCTGATGTGGAGCCTGGGGAGGAGATAGAGAGCCTCCGCAGGTAGTGCGAGGGACCGTGGGTCGAGGAGAGGCCCGAGGGTGGGCCCGGAGACTGTGATGGATGGAGATGTGAGTCTAGGGCTGGCTAAGGCCAAAAGAGCAAACTCATCGCTAGTAGAGTAACATGGACGCACACAAACACAGGGGAAATAAGTACAGGAAAACACACGCAATGTGCACATACATGAAGGGAAGATGACACACAGTCAGAGGACACACACGCACACAAATCCACATAGATGTCCTGAAGCTGTGTCAGTTTATGGGATTTTTTTGGGATGCAACAAAAAAAATAGATGGATAGGAGGCTACAAAGAGCAAATGGATTAAAGAAAAACACACAAGCTTTGTCAAGAGTAATAAAGTATGCATTAAAACTTGTATGAAAGTCTTTAATTACACACATGCACAAGGACACTAACGTGTTTGTGATTGAAAGTCTGTGATGTCATGATTGTTATTGGCCGTGATGGTGGCGCCAACCCGGCAACGGCCCAGTCAGGCGAGCCAACAACCCGCCCCGTCTTTAATCTGATTGTCTTAAAACAAATGTCTCTGCTTTGTGAAATTTCTTACCTTTTTAATTCAAAAATGCGTCTGCAGAACATTTGATCGAGTTAGACGAGGTGATTTGTTTAAGCGTTCAGAGCGCTTACAGACGCAGGGGTGAGACGGGCAGACGGGAGCTTTGAATGCACCATCCATCATAAACATAAACAAGACATTAATACTAGCTTGTGTATGAGTGTGTGTGTGTAGTGATGGTAGTGGCAGAGGTTGGGGGTGTTTGATCCCCCCAAAATTTGAGTGTTTTTAGATTAAAAAGCAACAACTACAAATGTTCCCCGAGTTAAGATTCAAAAAGGCGTGCCCAAACTCAATCAAAAGGATAAAAGCATACATGAATATTTTAATTTATGAAATGGAGGCTCGAGTGCACAAACACACAGGTGCTCTCACACACATACACACTCACAAAAGAGACACACATCCTGTGATTGTGGAGTTACCCCAAGGGCATGTTCTGAGTGGAGGTCACAGTTCAACTAGGCCTAGCTTGTTTAAGAGCTGCTCGCATGGAAACGGAGGGGGATATACTGCCCCGAGGGTCTGTGAGTGAGTGAATGTGTGTGTGTGTCGGTGGAGCTGAGTCAATGACAGGTGCGAGTGTAATGGGGGTGAATAGAGAGGGGGCATGAACAAGTGATCAATTTCAAATGAGCTTTGTAATACTGTTTATATTACTCGGGGGTGGAAGCGTTAAGATGATGATACACGGAAAGCTTTTTAAAGCTGATGGAGACGATACTGCCTCCAGCTCTGAGGGCAGACGGAGAACCATTTAGTTTGGATAACAAAGATTGAGGTAAGGAGCCTGGCATGGGTCTGGATAAAACTGGTACACCTGAATTAGTCCTTTGTTTCCTCAAATTAATAAATTGTACAATAGAAATCATAATTCTCTCGAAACAATCTATTACCGGTAAAAGACGAGTATGAAAGAAAATGCAAGTTGCATATGTTCATTAGCATGGGCGGCATAATGGTTTCGTCACCAGTGTTACGTTCTGTCATGACATGAATTGAGCAATACCATCATGACTTTGCTGAATATTTTAGCATCTAAAAATGAACCTGCTTCACTGTGGCTGTGATAACATGCATGTAGAGGGCTACATACATACATACAAACTCATAGAGTAGACTAGAGTTGCATCCAGTAATTACTATTAGTAACTCCTCGCTAACGCAGACTCTGGTAACACAAAAATGTGGAAGGTTAATGTTATGACGTCTATTCCCACCATCCGTGGAAGTTAATACCCAGTGGATAACTTTATGTTTGATGGAAATGTCCCCACAATAACTGAAAAAAATGTGTGCGCCACTTCACTTCAGACTGCTTTTTCAACAATGGCCAGTACAAAATCAGATTTGCTTCAAAACTGTAGCTCAAGGATCGTCCGATAATGAATTGAAACCCGGAAGCTGTACATTTCGCCATTTTAAGTTGCCTTACTGTTCAGTTAGTATGTGGCATGGCTAATGTGGCTAGTGCACGTGTATGCCCCCTCACGTCAGAAACAACAACTTGGAAATGTATCTCTGAGTGCAAAATCATATTATTGTCATAATTGTAGCGGTATTAACAAGGAATATAACTTTCAATAAACTTTGATTGAGCATTACCAACACTTTCCTCTCCTAGTTGACAATATGATCAAGTTCTGTCAGATTGTTTTAGTTGAGACTGACAGGGTTCAGGGGACGGCTGCATTTTCCTCTTCCAGAGGGACGGACTTCATCTAAGCAAGAGGGTGAAAAAAATCCTCTTTCTCTAGATTATAGGTGGTCAGGATGGAGGCCCTCAATAGAACATAATAAAATGACACTTACTGTTTAAGAAACTTTCAAACCTCAGCTAAAGATTTTCACTATTTAGGTGTGTGTTACAGAATCAACTCCGTGATGTAAAACTGTGGAGTTGTGTTGCAAAATATCCATAGGAATTAATGTCCCCAGGCTGTGAGACTCAAATTCATCTTCAGCACTGCTCCATGCAATATAGTTTATTTCGGTTTACCATTTTATAATTTTTGTATATATTGTCTGCTTTTTAGTAGAAGAGAACTACAAACTGCATTTCAATTTACAACCCTGTTGTAATATGACGATTAAATTTACCTTGTACATTTAAACGAAAATCCTTTAATTGCCTATATGTAGATGCTCTAAAATGGGTATGGGGTCGGTTGGCGTGTGACGTACCAGCCTCCAGCAGTGTGCGGACAGTGCTCGGGTCATCAGCAAGTGTGGCGTAGTGAAGCGCTGTGCAACCACGGAAGCCAGCCCTGCTGCTGAGCCTGCTGCTGAATTCATCCTCTCTGGACACGAGGACTGTAGGGAGGGACAGTCAGCAATACAGAGAGAGACAAGAAAGTTAGAACAAAAGATGGCTTTTATTTTGGAGAACATGCATTGGTTGGCAGAAAGAAAAAAACGTCACATAATAAGCCTGGTGGGAACATCGTCCATTTGTTCGATTTGTACTACAATTGTTCTGAAGTGGGACACAAATAAATAACAAAAAAGCGGGGGGGGGGCATTTCTTTTTAATACGGTTAGACTCACAAGTGACTGCAGAATACGCTACTACACAACACAAAACACAGTAATTCCTCAAAGATGGAGAGGCACGAGTTCAATCTGAAATGTAAACATTATACTTTGTGGAGCTGAACAGATGTGTATGATGAATTAACAAACAACTTTAACTGGAAATGTTAGAGCCTTTAAATCTGTAAGAACTTTCTTTAATCAATCTATTCAGAAAGTGTAACAATGATAACGCTGCGGACTGCAAAATTGTTTTTCCCGTTTCCAGGTTTAGAAGAGTTGTTCATTTTCACAGATTTAAGTTCAACTGTCCAACGTGATAGGAATAATGCGAGTTGTGTTTTATGGTCTCCTTTGCTGCGCTCCTAACTAATAATAAAGATAGTCTATCATTCTCTCCTTACTTCTCTTTTTCATAAGAGCACTCATCTACTGCCACTCCTCCATCATCCATTTTTATTTTTTTCCTCCTTCCTCTCCTCCTCAGTATCTATCAATTCCTTTCATCACTTGCGCCCTCTTCCTCCCTCCCCCCCTCTATCCCAATAACTTTGTCTCATCCATTTCCTGACTTCCTCTCCCTCCCTCATCATCCCACCCATTTCCTTCAATCCCTCCTTCCCTCTATCACCCCTCCAAACATCCACATCTTCTTCCTTCTCCTCCATCTTTTAACGCCTCCTTCGCTCCATCTCTCGCTGCTCCCCACCATCTTCCCTTCCCTTTCTTCCACTGCCTTCCTCCTTTCATTTTTCCTTCCTTCATCTGTCTTTCCCTTCCTCCATCCATCCCACTCTCTCTCTCTCTCTCTGGCAGTCTCTCTATGCTGTGTCTGTGTGTGTGTGTGGGTGAGAGAGAGAGAGACACAGGGCGGGATAATCATAGCTAACCCAATAAAGCGTCGCACAGGCCCCCCTAGCCCATCCATCAGCATGCGTCTGGGAAACACTTCCCCACGCTACGCAGGCCCCACGTGGACCCAAACCTGACAGCCATATAAATGTCTGCAATATACATATCCCATATAAATATGTCTGCAGAAACCCAACACAGACTGGGGGGGGGGGGGGGGGGGGGGGGGTTAAAGTGTGTGTGTGTGTGTGTGTGCCATCTTGTCTGTGTGTTTGTGCGCCGCTCAGAAACAAGTAAAACACACACTACTTGTCACAGAACATACAAAATAAATAACACGGAAGAAATGAAACATGTACATATATGCAAATCATTATGCAAATTATAATAATATCTGGTTCAACACTTTGGATTCATGTGTGTAATAATGCAACCGCACACACAAACGCGCGTGTCACAATGCAAACTCAGTCGCAAAGTGTTATTTTCTTTTTCACCTTCCAGCGAGTGGATGCCTTTCTCCCGCGAGGTGTCGTAAACGTTGTTGAAGTGATCTCCGGCGTTTGGGTCGGCACCGGCGTCGAGCAGGACCTTCACCACACTGAAAGACAGCAAAAGACACAAGACACGCATGTAAAGATGTTTAATAGTTCTGCCTTGAACTTGTATTACATCAAGCAGCCACCACTGCCTAAACACATAAGGAATACTATGTGTCGGCATTATGTGTACATTTACATTGTTATGTCAACGTATGTATATCAAGATATAGCAATTATTCGGGAATTCGATTAAGACACTGTTTCTCTACCCAAGACGAGATCTTGCGCCACACGATATTTCGAGATTATGTGACGACAATTCTCGTCAGGTAAAAAGCTGTCTTGCGAGACTCACACAAATTACATTTTCCACACGCTCGTCAAGCCACACAATTTTCTCATGCAGTGAGATACAAATGTATAACTGATAAGCCTCACAGAGCGAATCAACTCCGCCCAGTTGATGCCACACCAGCATACGCTGTGATGGTAATCAGCTGAACCCGCTCGCGCTGTGAGTCCAGACCTTTTTATATACGGTCACTGGTCTAGACAGCTGTGAGAAGTGGTAGCTGGAAGGGTCTTGCAACATAAACATGTAAAAACTGAAGCGCAGCCTGCTCTGTTTGGAACTGTGAGCTGCACAGGAAGATAACGTGTGAATTTGTGGTGAGATTTCTGCCTGATCAAAAGGGTTTCATTTACTTTCGGTTTCACATACAACATGCAGTCACAAACAGCGTCGGTCAAACGGTCTGAAGGGGGTAACGTTACTCCACAGTTGGAACAAAGACGTAATTCACAGCAGAGTAAAGGGCAGGTAGACTTCTCATTAAATGATGAAGTTAGTCTGGTAATATTATGACTTTTCTCTGCACATGTCAGAGAACACCGATAGGATATGTGGGAGAGATTCTGAATGAGCAGAAATCTTTGACCACGAGCAGAAAACCTGCTGAAACATAGGAGCTATTAAAGTCCAGGAGTTTATAACTAAATTAAAATGTAATACTTTATCATTGAGGTGAAAAGGTGCCACAATCACATTTAAAGAGGTTACTTCCCCAAACAGAGACACAAAGAGGAGGGAAGACTAAATCATGACTCAGCAGGGATGATATTAAATAAGTTGATATACAGGAGGAACAGATCTGATAGCAGCACAGAATGACTGAGAGCTGCACTGCATTATATTCTGTTATAGATTTTGAATCATCACCTGCCACCTGAATTTTGTGTTTCTTTTTATTTAAATAAATGCAAAAAATTCATCAGAATGCAGGAAACAAAGTGTATAATGCTCAAAATGTTCATATAATTCAGCATTAAAGATTTCTTAAAAATAGTGTTAAAATCTCGTCTCGTCTCAATCTTGTGAACCCAATCTCGAATCTTGTCTCATCTCGTGTTTCGTCACAACCCTACTGTTTATACATTAAGTATCCGAGAGTTTCCCGTTTTGGGGGAATCCAGTGAATTAAAAACAAAAGGTTCTTCATATTTATGCCAAACATATTATAAATCCAATATTGTCCTAAAGCTGCCTTCTCATTTTCAACAGTGCTCAAAATGGCTTAATACAACCTGGGACAAGTAAGGGATAGCTTCCTCAGTATATTGTAAGAATTTGATTTGTGGGCACAGGGTGGGAGTAAATACGTTTTTTTTCCCCTCTTCCCACTCCTTTTTGAATAGGTTTCAAAAAAATATTTTCCTTTGGCTGTAACTATTATTCTGTTATTTAATCATTTTGATTTGTTTATTTGATTGCATTTTCCTGTTGGATGTTTCTTTTTACATATATTCGAAATAAACAAATCTTTATCATCTTACAGAGAAGATTTACATCTTTCTTAAGAGCACATGCCACAGCACCTAAATATGCAGTCAGGTTACAGGAAGTAGGATGCAGATTAGATTTGGGACTGGGAGAAGACCTGCTTCCTTCACGTCACCAAACATAACCATGACCTTGTAACACAGTTTCTCCCATCCTCATGGCTTGAAAACAAATATGCTGTACACAGATGCAAATATCTAACTTAATTGACAATGACTCCTTCACCTGACTTCCAACGTTTCTAGTCTCTCCCTTGTGGTGGATTTTCACTACACACTTGTCTGCTTCGTAGCATGTACATATGCGCACATGGAAAGGGGGCAAGGGTCGGGCCTGTTTCCGGCGCTGTTGGGGGTGAGGGTAGGGGTGGGGTGTCTGTGTGTAGCACTTCATTGGAGCGTACCGCTTTATAGAACAAACACGAGTACCTCGGCAACACCACTCACTGTGACCCAACGGACATTCCAGGTACCGTCTCTCCGTCTACAGAACACACACTTTACATTTACCACCATGAACGTGAGCAGTGGCTTTGACATTGAGACAGACATGCACATGAATACACCCAAAAACTAGTCAGCTAGTCTGTGCCCACCATCAGCGAGAACTGGGGCGATGGCCGAAACATGAACCCTGCCAGTACGCTGCCGGCTGCCATTAGAACTGTGACTACGTAATGCAGCCTGGGAGGGAGTGATGGATGGTTCTCAGCTAAATGGTTATGGCAGGGGCCTGAAAGGGCTTAAATTGAGCAAAATGATTATTTAAAGGAGGATGAAGTGGACTCCTTTTTTAGAGCAACTACATCTGACCACGTAACAGGCCTCGGCTTCCCTTGGGGAGAACATGTGCCCTTAAAAATGAGCAGTGACAGGAGATACGACGTCATAAATGATGAAGCGACTGTGCAGATCAACTGATATTACACCACAGAGTCAACCTAAAGGTGAGGTGTGAAATTAAACAACCTGTTCACCTGTTACAACAACAGAAGAAGTGCAGGTTTTAAGAAAAAAACAACTCAAAAGATATTCTAACAGGACAAAACATTTATAAATATATAAAACAATGTGACAACAGACTGAAGCAGTAAAATATTTGAAGCATGTATCAATACTTGCAATGCAGTTTTTATAGTTATTAATTTCCCCATGAAACGTTTAGCATTAAATAGTGAACAATGTCCAAGGTGACGTATTCAAATTAATTGTTTTATCCGCTCAACAGTCTAAACCCAAAGATACTTATTATTAGATATGATTAAGAAAAGCATAAACTCTTTGCATTTGAGAAGCTGCAACTAACAAATTTTTGGCATTTTTGCTTTGTTTATCAAAGAATCATTAATGCACATATCAGTAAAACTAAAGAAAAAAACTGATCCCTCATTCCCATTAATATCATTAAAATCTGACTTTGGTAGTTTATGTCGTCACTACAGAACATGTGTGTTCCTGTGGGAGAGCGAGGCTGAGAACAGCCTGGCCAGGTCTTTGTGGCTGACCTTGCTGAGGGGGTATAAAGGACTATCGGGGGGTCCCCTTTTGTTACTGTATCACTGTGGCTGGGGGCGGCAGGGGGGCCGTGACCCACGGAGGGCTCTCCTCTCACCCTTGCAAGCACTTCTACAAACACATAGATGCATCCTCTGAGACACATACAGACACACACACAAACTCAAACTATGGTTGGTCACAGGAGGCTGGGCAGGACTGTGTGAAGAAATGAGATGGTCTGAAAAGGGTTAATGGCATCAGAAAGGTAAACACGGCGGGATAAAGAGAGGAAAACTGCAGAGGAGGAGGAGAAGGAGGAGGAGGAGTGGATGAAAGGAGGGAAGTGCAGCTAAAAAGATAAAAAAAAGAGGTAGATTTAATTATACAGGATAGCGCTAAAACTAATGAGCTTTTGAAAACAGTTTATAGTTTTACTAATCAACTGATGATCAAGTGGCTAACTTTATTTGGGACATTTAGGAGGAGAGCTGCAGCACTAATTTGAGGCCAAACTGAAGGCATGCAGAGGTTAATTAGGTTAAACTCCCATTTTAAAGGACTGCGTCAAAAGTTAAAATTACAGACTTCCTAATATGAGCTTATAAGAACTGAAACAATGTTATCTGTAAATTACCAGATACGAATTTTATTTTACTTTCATAGCTAAACCAAGACAAAGTGCACGTTAGCTAAATAAGGAGGGGGTTATCTAGCTGCTACTGACTTAACAGCCCCGCCAGTCTTATGTCCATTGTCTTGACCCTCTGTTGCTGTCTGAGCGGCACAAGACATAACATGAAATATGGTCAGCATTTTGTTGAACTGAATTCCCCAATTAATCCTCCTTCCCCCATTCTTTCTCATCCTTAAGTATATATATTTTTGCAATTTTCTTCCTCTGATCGAACAATTCACTACAGTTGGTATTAAAATGACCTCAATGTAATTTTAAAATGACATCAGCGTAATTGGGAGTCTGCGTCTTGCTCGAGAACACTTTGACAGAACAGATGCTTGAAATTTGGACCAGTTACAGGACGCTCTCCGTGCTATAACACCATCCAGCTGGTGAATCAAAAGCTCGACACAATGAGCACAGTTTGCTTAACAAGGCGGTGCAGAGGCTGGTAGATTTAACCTCCCAGGTTTGCCAGCAGGCGACTGGTGTTAGTTTCCCATCCTTGCCCTGGAGGGAAGACAGGAAAAGACACTTCCGTCTCTCCTGCGCTATAATAGACACCTGAGCCGAACTGACCATCCATGTCTCTGACCACCTGGCCCAGACGCTGGACCTCACTTGACCTCATCTCACCTGGTGCACACCTGGGGTCAGATAGATGCCAGGAACAGAGGTTCAATGCATTTAAGTTTTTTTTTTCCAGCCAAATAACCGGATTGGTCAAAATGTACATTTTATTTAGCTGAATTTTCTTCCAAGTATTTTGCGTGCAAATTATGACGTACATTTTAATCTTCAGCCTGTACACAAAACTTACTTTTTAAACACAGAACTTGTAAGTAACTTCTAAGACAGTAACCATGTTTAAAAGAAGACACTTTCATCAAATACTGTAATGAGGCAGCCTTGGAATAAAAAAAGAAATGGCTCAGGTTTTAAATATTACAGAGAGGAATGTTACAATGATCCTGTGGAAAACCATTCACACTATTATGACTTCAATGGTTGCTTCTAAGCACAACTTAGCTCAGTGTGTTTTTGCTTAATCCCATCAAAGAAAGTCAGAATATATAAAAGTTCCTCATGGGTGTATGGTCATCAGGTAGCCCATTTAACATTATTAAGTGCATTTCTTTGTCTACGGCAAAGTAGAAAATGTAGCCACAAGAACAATAACAGCATGTACAATATAATAGACGTTTTCCTTTAAAGCATTTAAGAAGCCTAAATATTCAATTCAACCCACTTAAACTCTTTTTTTCTCTCTTTTAAATTAACTGTGCAAAGTGGTGAAGTTCATGTCCAACTTCCAATGGCTACTGCTCTCTTAATCATTGCATGGCTGCTGTGCATCTGTGAAATCAAAAAAGGAGATGGTAATCTCTCATTTCCAGCACTTCTTAGACTTTAGCAATGCACACAATTAAATAATTATACAAAAACCCATTAATGTGGCTTTAATGTGGCACAGGGTGGAATATCTTTGAAGTTGTTGTTTATTATATTATCAGGGAAGGAACATTGTTTTAGTGTTCATGTAAGAAACAATGAAATACATGTTAACTGACTATGTCATTAACCAGACCGCTTACCATCACAATTGTGTTGTACCGTGACCAAGTGATGATAATATTTCACTGGGAGACCTGTGGTAATTTTCACCTCTATTCAATCCAGCTAATCCCGGCCGCAAACCCATAATCCCACTCCACATCACTCTCTCTCTCCACAGCTAAACTATTCTCTCCTCGCTTTCCCAACGAGACACTCATCCTCTCGTCCCATCATCCCACCGCTTCCCCTCGTCGCATTCCCTCTCCCTCCCGTCGAGTCACTTGGTCCGACAGGTCGGAACGGTCAACAGGCGTTACACTCGGCCGAGCGCTCATTGTGCACGTGAATGCAGCGAGGGAGGGATGGAGGGAGAGAAAGAGAGATGGAGATGGGTATTGTGTGTTAAAGAGTGCAAACAGTGACCAGGCCCTGCGCCTCCCTGATTTAGCCCCACATCAAAGCTAAGCACACACACGCCCCCCTGAAGTCTCACCCTTAATTCTTACACACCCCTCTACTTCACCCACTGATTCCCTCACACAGCCGCACCTCGACCCCTGAACACTAGAGAGGCTGCCTGGTGGACGCTACACCCACAAACAGTTTCCTCTGAAATGGCACTGTGGTGAAATCTTCTGTCTCTTAAAACACGGTTATCACTTCTGGTCCAGGTAAATACAAATACAGCGTGGGGGGGTGGGTGAAGTAATTCAACAGTAAGATCCATGCTGACATTCTAGCTACAGGCGAAACCTTGTCCATGAGTTATGCTCCCTTTGTTTTCACTTAACGGCTGCAAATAAAGTTGTGTGTGACTGAGTAATAGGCAGTTGGCCTGTAAGATATTTTGTATAAACTCCTCTTGTCTGTCTGTGTGTGTGTATCCTTACTTGTGTGTGTGGATATTTTGTGACTGGATTTGTGTGTGTGTGTGTGTGTGTGTGTGTGTGTGTGTGTGTGTGTGTGTGTGTGTGAGATAGAGAGACATGTGTGACTGATGTGTGTGAACTGATGTTCTGTCTTCCCTGCAGCAGTGACGGCTCACTGGGGGGTTGGAAGACGGGATTAAACACAGAGGAGTGTCACTGCCTCGCTGAGTTATAGCACTCATAACACACACACACACACACACACACACAGACACACAAGACAAACTTCCAACTCAAATTTGTATCCAATAAAACACATTACATACATCAATATGTTCCACGCCAACAATCACTCAGCGCACGTCATTAAATATAAAGACATGCTGGAGCTCAAACATCAGCACAAAGTGAAATAATCAAAGTATATGATCGTATTTGTCTCTGAGGATGAGTTACAGACCATACAGTGTGCTGAAGAAAGTGCAACTAACAAATATTTTTTTTAGTAACGATTAATCCATTTTTTTTTTACACGACTGTCTATAAAAATGGCAGAACATTGGGAACAGTGCTCATCAAAATGTTCAGGAACCCAAGGGTACGTCGCCAAATCACTGGTTTTGTCCAAATTCCAAAGACATCCAATCTAATAATTACTTAAAAGCAGCAAATTGTCACATTTGAGGAGCTTGAACCAGCAAACATTTGGCAATTTTTCTTGGAAAAAAAAAAAAAAAATCTAATTATTAACCGATTATCCGAACCAACACAACCAATTTATATAAATATTTCAGTATCAGAACACATTGGCATAAAATGCAAAAAATCTACAATCTAAAATTTGAAATAAACAATTTCTAAGCTCCAAAACCTGAAAACACAAAATGTCACAAGATGTTTCCATTTTAGTAGCTTTAATTCAAACTATCTTACAAACTGTGGGGAGCAACTGTAACTACAGATTTAAAGTAAGCTCATTTTAAGCTTTTATAAAATTAAAATTTCTCACCGACACATGAGGCCCTTAATTAAACAAAAGAGTGACCACACAGTCCTGATGGAGGAAGAAAAAAAAAAAAAGCACCCTTGTAAATTGGATTTGGCCTGGCCTTAACCTCAGCCCCTCTCTGTGTTGTGTGTGTTCTGGGGGCCAGGAGGCTAATTTAATTTGTTGGACAGAGAGATGGGGGAACGGGTAAAGACCGTCTGTCAGTCTGAAAGTCGCACTTTGCACTTCTGAAGACCTACTGTAACAACGAGCGCAGGGACACGGAGGACATATGCTCACACGCTTGCTCATGCAGACAGCTGCGTGATACCGAGACACTACAAACACTGTTACATATGCTCACCGGGGAGCGTGTCTCAGAAACACGTGATTTGATCAGTAGGGTTTAGTTTGGATGAAACACACACACACACCTGTGCTGTCGGTTCATGGCAGCCACCATGAGAGCAGTCCAGCCTAGACGGTGGCGGTGATTCGGGTCGACCCCTTCTTTTAAAAGCCTGATGGGAAGAAGAAACAAAAAGTGGTTAACATATTGTGGAGGGCATCTGAATATGTCCATATAGCCAAAGTTTCAATGTTATTAGTTAAGGTGTTTTATCAGAGTCTTAACACATGTATAATGATGCGAGAATAATGACTGGTTCTTGTGTGAATGTATCAACGCCCTTCCTTGTTAGACACACCCATGATGTCTTTGTCTTTATCTGAAGCCACGCACTTGCTCCTTGGCCAGTTAATGTGTCCGTGTGCGTGTAAGCCAGGTGCGTGTTGACTTTTCTGCCCCAGGGTATGACATCAGGTACTGGAGTGGCACAGTCTTTATAAGTGTGTGTGTGTGGGTGGGTGTAAGTGATCCGTCTGTCGTCTCTAGTGCTGAGCACGCAGACAGTGTGTGTGTTTACAGTCAACACAGTGGCCTCTGTCTGGTCTGCACTCGTCTCTGAAGCTCCCTGGCTCTGTTTTCACTGCCTGGTCTGCATATAGGATGAGAGTTTTGGTAGGAGAGACGGCACATCACCACTTCCACTACATGCGAGCTCTTCAGTGTGCAGTACCCGTTACAGTTCAGTCAAACCGAGAAGCTCATACTACTTTAATTTTACCAGAAGTTAAAGAAGTGGCATAGTGGGAAGTCAGCGCTTTTGCATTTCACTAAACAACTACATGACATAGTTGGATGGAAAAGTGCTGTAGATGAACGGTGCTTGAGGACAGAAAGGGCTTAAGTCAAGTATGTCAAGAGACACTGAGCTGCGTCATCTCTACAAGCAGAGGTGACACTAAGCTCAGAATGACATTTCAGACATTGTTTTGTTACATTTTCTGCATATTTTAGGAGGTTGACCAATGTATCTGGACAACCTGCCCTTAAATGAAACTTGGATATTGTCTAAGGATGCACCGATCCGATACCGACTCAAATAGCTGGATCGAGTATTGGGGATACGGGGGCTGATCTAGTCTGTTCAATTATGCACGTACTATGCGATGCGTAGACCTGAACATTCTGCTAGGAGAGCTAACATAGCATGAGGGGAACAAAAAACAAGGGATCAGCAGTTTGGAGGTATTCCGTGCTTGCTAAGCCAACAAGATCCACAGCTATTCGCAAAATCTGCAAAGCCAATGTTTCGAGGGGTGGCAGCAGCACTGCAAAATATAACAACTTAATCAAGCACCCCCAGAAACATTGTGCCAAAGAACACGATTCCCAGCCTCTTCCTCATAGCGAGGAATGCAGCTTATTCATTTTACACTGGTGTCTGATCGATATTCAGCATTGGCTGATACCTACATTTACATTACCTAAAGCCCATGTCTTGTATCGGGACTGAAAAGGTCAGATCGGTACATCCCTAATTGTCCAGGAATTGATGCCTTCTAATGTGGCAGATAAAGAGAGCACCATATCTGGAAATCCTGCAATGAAAGCAACCTACAAAAAAATCTTTAATGTGGTTTTACAACATGTGGTTTCACAAGCAAGGCTGGAATAAGAAGGCTGGAAGAGAAATATTAACTACATAAACCAATAACATTTTAGTATCTAAACATATTGAATATAAACACCAAGTATGAACAGCTGCTAAAATGTCATCATCATTATCAGCCAACATGAACCATTAGCAATGTAACCTGCATCTTATGATAAAGCCTGGGTCTCCTGTCAGCGCATCAACTCCATGCACACCTTCCAGTGTTTAAATCTCTCAAGATTATAAAGTGCTTCACCACAGTTGTAGTACAACTGCTTTTTATAAAGCCTGTGTGAAAACGAGACATCCATCCTCTCCACTGCCTCTCAGCAGACACACCCTGACACTCTACCACTTCTAGAAAGTAAACCAAAAGCACTTAACACATCTGCTGACTGGCTGTCTGGCTGACCGTCTTCACTGCACTCTCACCTTCACCATCTGCCACATGGGCACAGGTAACCCAAGCCAGCAAACGGAGACACACATGGACAAGACACTGTACACATGCGAGCACAGATTTAACACACATGATTCTTGCCCAAAGGTGAGCAGCATGTCTGACAGGAAATCCATCCATCCATCATAATGAAGAGCAAAGTTAGTGACTTTCTGTAACCAAAGGTAGGTAATAATATATTACTCAGCACATTGCAGAATGTAGAATTTGACTACAGTGTGAACACTTTTAATTTTTACTCAAGTTTTGTAATGCATCAGCAGAACAGAAGAGACCAAGAAATAGTAAAAGCCCTGTAAAAACCACACATGCATTGAGAGCTGTGCGCACATGCACGCGCGCGCGCGCACACACACACACACACACACACACACACACACACACACACACACACACACACACACACACACAGGTGGCTGTGTCTCTGAGTTCCCAGAGGACTATGTTTAAGTTTATAGATTGGCCTCACAGCATGGGTGTATTTTCATTTATGAGTTAGAAAGATAAAAAGTTAATACAATGGGAGGGGGGAAACAACTTTAAAATGCTTAAAATCAGTATGATGGGAAGAAAAATCAAGACACACTGTTGAAATTGAGCCCTGAGTGGCCGAGAATGAGAATCCATCCTGCAAACACCTCCTCCTCAGACCATACAGTTTACAAGCACAGATGGGCCTCTTCTTCCACCTGGTGGTTACTGGTGAGATTACAGGTGACATGACTGCAGGTGAACCCAGCTGTTCTGGAAACTGACCTCAGCAGATGTGACTTTACACAAGGATCTGAGATCTGAACAGTACTAAAGAGCAGAAGATGCTGGGAAACAAAACACTCTCTACTAACCAAAGCCAGTGACATTATTATACTGCGAAGATCACTTTGGATGGATCCATTCATGGTTTCTTTAGCTGATTCCCAACTGATTTTAATGACAACAAAAAATGAGCTCAGAAAAAAACAGTAGCTTTATATATATTTAACCTGACTAGAACAAATCCACCAAGGCAGTCCTCCTTATGAATACTTTGGCTAAACCTCCACTCCAGCCATGAATTTCAGAAAATTTACATCAATCAATATTCATCATGCCTAACGGAAGTGTCCATTCATAACAAATTAAAGGTAGTATTTGCTGTTCTCTTGCATACTATAAATCTTTTAAAATGGCAAAAAACCCTGCCATGTCACATTTATTTACCCACTAGAGCACCCTTTCTACACTTCGTAGCCTCCATTGATCATGTGGTTCACACTGGAGACTACCAAGGATGCTTCTCCATGTTAATGTTGCTAGGGTGCTCCGCGTGTAAGGTGTTGTAGTGTACACAGGTCTGGGAAATATATACTTGAAGCATATGTACTTAGTGTAAACGTAGACAAATATCCCATACTGTAGGCACAAGAATGTTTATTTGTTTAGACTGTGTGTGTGTGGTACCTGGCCACATCTTGAGAGTTATTGGTCCTTGCTGCCTCCAGAAGAGCATCACCTTGTTATTGCAGAAACAGAGACATTAAACATTGCAGGAGGAGAATACGGAAAACTTCAGTACACATTGACAAATTATGGAAATACTGTTGTTTTCAGCCAAAAACAATTCCTCAACATTTCCCTAACTTAATTGATCAATATGATACTTGTATACATTTTGTGACAACGTACAAAAGTTTCTGGCCTTTACGATTGGTATCGATTGACAATATTTTCTGTACAAAACTAGTCAGTGACTTTTCACTAATTGTCGCTGCAATTATACCACGTGACACAATGCCAGCTGATACCTTTGTTATCAGAGTCCTTCTTCAGGCAGAAGGCCACGGCTGCAGCACACAGTACACCTGCAGAAGCCACTCCTCCCCGGCTGGCCCCTTCTGTACCCGGTCCTTCACCTCCACCACTCTGCCCGCTCTCCTCCCAGTACTGGTTATTGTTGCGCCCCCTGCTAGCCAAGGTCGCCCACGAGCTGCGACGGTTCTCCAGGTTGGACAGCCATCTAGGGGTGAGGTGGTGGTACTGCACCGACGGGTTCACACTGGTACCAGCTGTCTCCTCAGCAAAAAGTCCCCTTCTGGAGACACGGGAAGTGGACACGATGGGGTTGCGGTTGGTCTCCGCCGGTGTGTCGCGGATGCCCTGGCATGCGCCACCGCTTGCGCTGGTCTGCAGCACGCGGCTACACGGTGACAGGCTGCGCGACCTTCGCGCAATTAGCCTGGTGGGAACAGATGATAACATGGCGATAAACTCACCAGAAACCAAGCGGTGAACGATGAAACTTTCAGCCCGGCAGTAACTCAAGAGGGACACAGACACCCTACAGGCCGGGGACACTGCCTTAATGTCGCTGTAATGTACACCTCAATTTACAGGCAGATAATCACAACAACCGAGACGAAAACAACCGCCTCTCCTCATTGTAGCGTGGATGTCACTGGAACGCGCGGTGCATTCTGGAAAATGTTGTTTACCGGAACCTTCTGTGTTGTCAGCTGCCATGACGAGATGCGTATCTGTACACACTTCCGTGTTCGCTTAAAATCAAACTCAGTTACAGCTGGATACACAGGAGTCAGTGAATGCCTCATTTATGTTACTTTATTTACTGGTTAGCGGTCCTGTATTTGATTAATCAGTATAAAACTGTGCTCATCGTCAACAGTTTAGTTACTGTATCCGGACAGAACAGAGTTGGATTCTGGTCCTTTCGTTTGGGCTCCGCTTACATTTGATGACACAAGCAGTTGTTTTTTTAAATGTACTTGTCCTTTGATAGCCGCCAGATGGCATTAAAGCACAGTGTAATTAGATGTCTGTGGCTGCATAGTAGCTACACGTGCAGACCATTGGCACCACAGGCAAATGTCGGGGTACTCCCTGGACAGGTCGCCAGTCCATCGCAGCGTAGACATTACACAATTCTTTAATGCTATTGCAGAAAACTGTGTTAAGCTGCGCTACATTCCTAAAGGTTCACTTTCACAATGGGACACAGATTGGTGAAACCACATCAGAAATACTACACTTTCACTGCAATATTTAAACATATCTTCTTATCTAATTTAAATACTTCAAACAGGATATACTGCTCAATACCCCCCTCCTGTCTCATTTGTACATATTTAATGTTGAGAGAAAAGATGATGCAAACCGAAGTGTCACTTGTTGACAATATAGGATTTACTGTATGATATACTGTTGACGCCCCTCGCGCCTTTCTCCCCAGTGTGAACAAGATTTTGTGATGTGGATTTTGTTTGTACTTTATCTGCTTTATTGTGAATGCAAAATAGATATTGTGGAATTGTGGAAAACCTAATGGACTTAAAATGATTTAAATGGTTCTTGTTAACACACAGATGCCAACAAATGTAGGGCTGTAGCTCAAAGTTGAGAGGAAACGTTGCATAAATTCATTACTTCCTGCACAAGAAGCTTGATTTTCCAGATAATATATCAGCACGTCTTTAAAATTACAATGAAACTGCATTTTGAGAGAATCTTGCTTCCTTCGGTTTATTTAAATGCTTCCTGTTGAAATGTGACACTGCAGCAGAAAAATAATTCAGAAAGGTATCGTTCAAAATTTTAGCTCTTTTATCTACACCTAGCATATGCTCAGATTGCCACTAAAGATACAGTTTATTCCAGGAAAAACAGGTTTGTTGTAGAAAATGTTTTTGTTCCTGAAATACAATCTTAGCAGATCCATTCTGACAATTTGGGCCTCCCACAGTAGAGTAGAGCTTCACTGTGTTAGGTATGTTGTGTGCTGATACCAGACATGAGTCATAAGAGGACATCATGCTCTGCCATCTTAAGTGTACTGGCACCTTTACCTTTACCTCTGGTCTACAGTGGCGTCAGTGTGGGTGACACCTGACAATACATTTATTCTCACCAACAAATACAGATTAAGTTGCCCACAATAACCTGCTGTCGTTATGTTTAGGCCCATGTCTGTCTCTAAAGTATTTTTAAAAGTCACCATCGTTTCTAATCTGAACAACAATGAGACTATGTGATGGCTTATATTTGTGTGTCCTGTCTTTTTTTTTTTCGCTGTCACATGTCAATATGTCTGCAGTGGAAAAAAGTCTGTTGCAGAATTTTTGTTTTGTTGCATGGCAGCACAAGGGCTTGACTAGCATTTTTATCAACTTGTAACAAAAGCAGCCAAATTTAATTATTTAAAATAACATCACAAAACAACAACACAAGGCTCTCTTACTATATTGACAGCATACTTGAAAGTAAGTAAACGTTAATTATGGCTCTGTTCAAGCAATCGCTGAAATGAAATGCAGCGTTAAATTACGCGTTTGACAAGTCAAAATGTCTCTCCAACTTTAGTTTCACTCCACATTTTCTACCCTTGGTCATGTGTGACCTGCCTGCAATGGCCCATCCAGTTGGTGAACCACTGACATAATTAAAAGTTGTGAGTTGCGCTATTTTATTTTTTGATTCATGACATTGCTCTACTCCTCCTGGTGAGTAATGTCTTGTCTTACTCAGCTGTCCCAGGTGGTCAGAGATTAGGATCAGTGACACAAAACTTTGAGCTATTACAACCAGTAGTGGATGAAGTATTCAGATCATTTACTTAAGTCAAAGTACTAATACGTCACTGTAAAAATACTCTGTTACAAGTAAAATTACTGCATCGCAATTGTTACTTAAGTAAAAGCATGTAATTACAATCAGAAAAATGTACGTAAAGTATTAAAAGTAAAAGTACTCAATGCATAAAATGCATGAATGAAAAATGTCTCCTGTGACTGTAATGCTATAAATTATATCATTAGATTAATATTATAAAGCATGAACAACAACATTTTACTGTTGTAGTTGGCTGAGGTTGAATTATTTTGTATCACACTGCAATTAACGATGTTTTTCATTTTGGATTAATGTGCTAATAATTTTGATCAATTGAAAATAATGAGAAATGTTGTCACAATTGCACAGAGCCCAAAGTGACACCTTCATTGACACTAATGCTTGTTTTGTCAGACCAAACCTCAGAATGATTAAAATCGCATCAAAATAATCAAAAGGAAAAGCAGCAAATGTTCACATTTGTGAAGCTGAAACCATGAAATGTTTTTACATGAAAAATTACTTAAACAATCAAAGTAGTTGCCAAATAAATTTCTGCCAAACAACTAATGTACTAGCTGTACTTGTATAAACTGTTGAGTAGTTTAATTTATAACAAAATATATTTTATAAACTCTTCATATGTTTTGTGTGTAAAAATCTTAATATGTAAAGTAATTAGTAACTAAAGCTGTCAGATAAAAGTAGCATAGGAAAAAGTACAATATTTCCCTCTGAGATGTAGTGGAGTATAAGAGTCACATGAAAAGAAAATACTCAAGTAAAATACAAATTCCTTTTCACTTGTACTATTTGTACAGCACTTGAGTAAATATACTTAGTTACTCTCCGCAGGGTTTTATTCACAGTTGAGTAAGGTTGTTGCACGGCAGCAAAATGGCTTTGAGCATGTAGTTTGAACAGCTTCAACAACAAGAGAGCTGCACTGCTCCTTTGCAAAGCAAGTGAGTAAAGTCCATAATTGCAGAAAAGATAATACAATGGCAAAGTTGTGGTGAGGGGTGCACACGCAGTCTATATGCAGTAGTGACCACTGTATATTAGAATAGTAAATAGGAGTGCTGTGGATCAGGGTGGTAGGCCACAGCACTGGATACACTACTGTAGGCAATCTTAAGCACAGAAAATCTTCTTTAATGTATTTAAACACATATGTGATTCTAAGAGGAAAATGTGCATGTCAGATTATTTAGGCCTGAAGATGTTGTGAGAACACCCACAGATCAAATTAAGTGAAGGAGGCCGATAATGGGTTTACACACTCAAGATGAAAGGAGGGAGAGCAATGAAGCAGAAAATGGCTGGACAGACCCAGTGAAAAATAGATGGAGAAAGCCAAGCAGAGTGAGGGAGTAGTTTTTATAGATTCATAGTGGCACTTAATAAATTATTGCATTATAGGATTTTAGCAGGGCGTTCATTGCTCTCAGCTTTAGTGAGTTTAGCAATGAACAGTTCATAAGGAAGCCTAAGAGAAAGACAGGTGAAGACAAATATTTTACACGTCAGCCAAAGGGAGCAATGCGCGCCCCCGCTGCTTCCTAAACTAACTAGTTTACAACGGTGCGCGTGTATAGGGCGATAGCGCGGGTTGCGTTCAAATACTGTCGGGAATATGAATACGACAAACAAACAGCAACCATACAGGAGTTGCCTGCATGTTTAAGCTGCAGAAGAAAAAACACTTACAACCAGAGTTTAAAGTGGAGACTGCTGGTCTCACAGTCGTTGTGGTGTTCACATTACTTGGCAATGTGACACCACACAACTCTTGACTGACATGAAAGAAAGCGGAAGGCCTCTTCTCCCTTCACAGCTGACCTGGGTCAACAGGTCAAATGTAAGCTTGTTGCTGAACTTTATAAAACAGATCTTAAATGCTGCCAAAGTTTGTGCTAGGCTACACCTTCAGCTGTTGGCTGGTAAGATATAACATTAGCCATAACAGGTACAGGAAAAAATGTGTTTGAAAACTGTTCATATAATGTTAATTAGATGGATTTCATACACCACTGTTAAGTTAGGCCTAACATTACTGTTGGTGCAACCTAAATTATTTAGTTCCCACTGACAAAATAGGGTACTTAACGTAAACTATGCTCCCAAAATGTATTCAACAACAGTGCGGTAACGCTCTAAAGGGAACACATCATAGCTCATTCCCAGCTCCGACCTCCGACTTCCGAGGTAAATGGAACGCAGCATTAAAACCTCTTAATTTCCAACGGCCCACCCACGGGCCGTCAGGTCCTGGCGGCAGCTTTCGGTATGTGCACACAGCTGCTATGTTAACTTCATACTCATATGATACACCATTTGAAAGCTAAAATCCCCGTGATTCGACCAATGCGAACCATTTCAAGATAAAATCAACACAGCGGGTACAATCAGCGCTTCTGTCAGACCAACCAGTACAAGCAAAATTGACGCGACTCACCTATGAAGCCTCATAGTAATCCACAGATCGATTATATTCCAACAAAAATGGTCTTGTTACATGGTCTTGTAAAAACATTTAGTCCAAAACACATTATTCCATCAATAAATCCTCAAGGACTGCTGCCGCATCATTTCATATTTGCCGGCAGACGTGGCTCATATGTCATTATAACCGTAATAACGCCGATTTGAATGTAAACAACTACGATATCTTGTATTCAAATTAGCCGCTGAACTCTGACCTTTCGAGTGACACCAAATCCGACCCAATAGGAGCTCACATTTCCCTTTCACAGCCTTCAATAGCCCGCGCTGTAAGGAACACTCCAGAGTGTTATCTTTCAGAGAAGCCCAAAACCATGCATATACTCCAAAGCACATAGCATATTATTTACATTTGGCCTATTATGACATGACAATAAATAGCTGTAGCCTTCTTGGTTTGCCTACAATAGTATTATATTAAAGTCACCATCAGATTCTGATTAAGGTTAATTGGCTGAAGTGTTGTTTTTTTATGTTGTTGTTGTTGTCTTAGAAGTAGGGGAGACCGGGGCAATTATAACAGGGGGCAATTGTAACACACTCAATTTCTCCAATCAGAAACAAGCTAGAGTGATAAAACTTAATCTGCACATGCTTAATAGGATTCTCTCTCTGCCTGTGGAAAAGGAGCAGGATCATTTCACCTTAGCAGAAGTTTTAAACATATATATATATATATATATATATATATATATATATATATATATATATACTAATATATTTTGAGGTATGAAAGTAACTTTTTGGATGTGCAGTATTTCTTTCTTCTGGTGTCTAAAGTTTAGATGACTGCAAATCTAAACTTGCATACATTTTATCTCTAGGTTAGTGATTAACAATTAACACTAACAAACTATGCTTATATAGTTGTGGCTAGCAGGCATACAAGATTTTATCATGGCTGCAACTTCGGGGGTAATTGTAATACTGTGTTACAATTACCCCCAAGCCACATGGCCCAATGTAAGCAGCTTGTCTGTCTGTTTTGAAAATAAACATATTTCACTAAGTATAAATGTAAAACCATATTAAAAAAGGGTGTATTAAAAGAAATGGATTTGTTCTAGTATAAACAAATAACCAATTAACATAGGCCAACATTCTTTGTATAAAATAGTGTGTTTTACATGTGTTTAAAAGAAAGTGTGCATATTATATAGGCCTAAGTCTGCAAAAGTAAAGTTCCTTTCATTGTCAGTTTGTCTGTTTAGTGGACTTAAAGTAGTTGATGGTATAAGACCCAGCAAAACCAAAGAGAATGACTAGTTCACATGTAAAAAGAAATTTTATGAAGTTAGAACAGAGAGAGCAGAGGATGCCTGACATCTAAAATAATTTGAACCATTTAAAAACTCTTATGTAACATTATTAGCTGTAAAGTAATTACTTTGAGGTAGCCTAGGCTTTTACTTGAGATGCAGTGGGTTAATATGACTTATTTTTCAGTGTTACAATTGCCCCCACACACGTCTGACTTCTTGCATTTAATTAAATATTTTAGTATTGTTTTTATAAGTGAAAATATATCAATGGTATCATTAATTAGTGCACATATATATGTTTCTTGTATCAAAAAATGACTAGTGTATCTCAAGTAGTTTGTGAGTTATTCAGGAAAATGTAAAATATGTTACAATTGCCCCCGGTCTCGCCTACCTTGGGGATCTGCTTTTAAGACATTGCTCCATAGCACTACTAGTAGTTAAAAACGTAATTGAGTACCTTTAAGTGAAGTGAGCAAAATGCTTTACAAAAAACACTTTTGAACCAAGTTTAAGATGCAAGTTGCATATATTTGTGTTATTGTAATGGTTGTCAATATACTTCAGCTTTCAAGTCTTTTAATTAAATAGGCTCAAATCAATTAGGCCACTTCATTAAAAAGGCAGGCATTATAGTACAATTTGTTGTAAGTTTTTAATCAACTATAATGTTACTATGTCAGAAAGAAAGAGTTGTGAAATAAATTGGTAACCAGCAAAAAAAATGCATTATATAAAGGTTCAATTGCCTTACTTCCAAGCAAAAGAAGTTCAATGAACATGTAGAGTATGAGGCAGCGCTCACAGCTTTCCGAGGAGCACCTAAAGGCAGCACTGGGAGGCGTTTCCATTGTAGCCATCGCTGCGTCGCTTGCTACTCAGCCTGATTTCCTCTCCTCTCATTGCTCACCGCATCTCCTCTACAGCACCTGCCAAAGCAGCGACGCAGCGATGGAGAGCTGCTGCAAATTCTTATAAGCTCGAGGAAGACCACAATTGAGAGAGAGAGAAAGAGAAGGACACACTAAGGAAACTACGGATAAAGAGAGACACGAAGAAAGGGGGAAAACGGAGTGTGACAAGCGGAAACACAGAAACATATGGTTTGCCTGAAGAGCGGCTGTTTCTGAGGACTGCTGAACCGGGCTAAAACTTATACAGCCACCGTGATCAACTAAAAGTCATATTTGATTCGTCCATTTACATTGTTTAGACACTTCCTCTTTGCCTTATTTGTGCGTGCTCTCACCTGTGTGCGGCAGTGGCTTATAGGTACACCTCTGTTTGGTTAGTTTGTGCGGGGTGGATTGCGGCTGTTGCACCTCCCTGAATGCGCACACACACGCACTGATCATCACAAGACGCGGTGCAGCCTACAAAAGCTTCTTGCAAGGAGGAAATTGAATTAGACAAGTTATTCCTACAGAAGAGCAGGACAAGAGCGGCTAGCCTTCGGCTTCCCTACATTTATCCAGCTCACCGTGTCTCCGGGCCCACTAGGAGTCTCTTAGACAACCCCCTCTTCCCTTCTCTCACCTCCCATTTCCCTCCCGGCAACAAGCCATGTCTGCACAGACTGTGACCATCCCGGACGACCAGGCGTTCGCCAGCTTCAAGTCAGAGTGTCTGTGCGAGGAGGGCTGGAGTATGAGCTACAGCAAGGGGGGCATCACGGTGTGGACCCAGGCTCTGCAGGAGGGGAACTCTGTCCACAAAATTAAGGTGAGACTGTTTTACCTGTATGTATGAAACCGAGCATAGTGCAAGTAATATGTTAAAATACAACAAAGTATAGATTGGAGGACTAGAGACATAACAGACCTGCACAGGAATAATAGAAAGCAGTAGTCATTGTAACAATAAGGGAATGCGAGGAAAACACTGCTGTTTAATCCAGTTGGCAGGGGTCTCCCCCCCCCCCCCCCATATGGTTCAAACTGCTGACTTGCTTAACCCATTGATTTTTGCTGCATGCTAGTTGCAGAGGCTTCCCTAACCCACCAATAGCTTGTAGACACTGTATGTTGTCCCCTTTTGTAAGCACATAATCAAATGGGTTTTGAAAATAGTCCCAGTATGAGGGGATACAGTGCAAACGTAAAGCCTGCAGCTTTTTTACATCACTGTTTAATGAACACATCCTGTGTTAGATTCACTCTATTTATAAATGTGTATTGTGGTGGGGTTGTGAATTCATGCCTAATGCACACCATGAAAATTCCCCACCACATTAAAGAGAAGTGAGAGGAGGAGTCAGCCTTAGGAGTCTGGTTTAAATCTCAGGAGACATCCATTATCTTTTGCCAGAGAAACTATTTTCATGTCTCTGTCAAGAGCATATTAGGTATAGTGTTGAGTGTAACATGTCAGTTTCTTTTTGTTGAAGTTGTTTTTGTACACAGTTTGTCGTTCATTGAACACACAGGGAAGTGAACAAAAGCACGCACAGAAACAATAGACATTAAGACTGACAAGGGCTGGAAAGACAGAAAATCAATTGATGAGTTCAGTTTAATTTTCTCATTATGTGGTGACACTTTCTGAAATTTGGGGATGTGCTGCTTTTTCTCTGATTCATATTATTCTAAATTCATTATCTTTGAGTTAAATGACAAAATATGCATGTTAAAGACATCATTTTGGTCTCTGATAGGCCTAACTTGTGTTGGTCATTTGTCATATATTATATTTAATAATGATTACCCAGCCCTAGGTCACAGGGTGCAGTAGGTGGGGAAAACATTTAGAAGTTCCTCATCATTGTTTAGGTAAGGTAATAATGGGACCTGCACATGAAAGTACTTTTTGTGTAAACTTTGTTATCTAGTCAAATAGCAGTCGTGGCAGTTTGTCTCAACTGTGAATGTTTGTCTTGGGAGTCGGTGTGGAGGCGTCATCAGGACAGCATTGTCCCTTTAAGCCGTGGAAAAACTGCTGCGTACCAGCTAACACATTATATTTGACCTCAGTCATTAATAATGCTTTGTTAGTGTTCTGGGGACAGAGACCCAGAGGGGGGGGGGGGGACAAATTCAGGCTTTGCCTTAACAGCACGTTTGTGGCAAAAACATCTGTTATGTCTTGAATATGAATAGATGATTAGTAGTTTGGATTTAAATACATGTGAAGATACAAAGTCAAAGTTTCCTTTATAGTCAAGAACACCATTAGGATAGTCAGTTATTTGAAGAAAAGGAAATGCTGATGAAGTTGTCTGTTAAGATATAAAATGTATAAATACCTACTTTAAACTTAGATCATACATAATCACTTGAATAAATGGTGAAATGTTTTCATCCAAACAATGTGATTTGTTCTACATCTAACCACAGTTTGGACCAAACCTAGCAGCAATTTGGGTGACCCCTGAAAATGAATCAAGAAAGTGGAAATAATAAAACATGCCCAAAAGATATTATTATATCACAGTTAGATTTGCAGGTCACTTTGCCAGTACACACTACATTCTCCACTTAGCCTCAGGTGTTTGCTGGCAGCCTGACTGACGGGCTTAACTGGCTCAAAACCTCTTGCAGTGTTGTCACTTTAACTTTAAGACCGGTTTGGCTGACTCAGCTGACAGTTTTGGGAAGCTTGCGTCCACGTCTCCAACCTTTACAGTAGTAACCACTGTGACCCGCCATAAAAATCCGCTTACTCTCGCTTACTCTGGGATACGCTTTCCTCAGAGATAAAAAAAAATTACACACTTTCTCTTCTGCATAAATGTGTGTTCCTGCTCGTGTATCCGGGTTTGAGAAGCGTCAGTGAGCCACCAGGTGTTTACTTTGTTAAATAAAGTGGTGAGTGTGTGTGTGTGCATAGGTGTGTGTCTGTGTGCGTAGGGGTGGGCAGGGGGCCACAACAGCAGAGGGATTTTTCCCCTTTATCTGTCTTTGTACTTGTGAGGCAGGATTGTGTAAATCGGCCTCATTTGCTTATTTGATTTCTTCAGTTTATGTGCTGAAGGAGAGGTGTATCTTGTCATCAGCAGCCGTGTGTGTGTTTGTGTGTGTGTGTATGTGTGTGTGTGCGCACGTAGAGGATAAGGTTCTGCTTATTCATGCTTTTGCATACAGGACAGGTGTGTTTCCTCACAACAGCTCTGCAAACAGAGCAGAAAGTGCACATAGACACAGACACACACACATTTGGAGTTTGGGTGGGGTTTATATCTTTAACTGGCACTTTATCTTTATGTAAATATGACAGGAGCTTGATTTTGCATGGTTCATCATTCAGCGATGCCACCGATACAGCCCTTACATTTATAGACCAAATAAAAGCATGCATCTTTGCTGATGTATGTCGAGTGATTAATGCGAGCGTTGAGACTTAACGCTCTCTTCCTCTCTCCCTCTTTACTATGGCATCAGTGACATTAAAGAAAAAATGATGCATCTAAATCGGATGTGAGAGAGAACAGACTGGCAATCATCATTATCATTAGTAGTCTAATTATCAGCAGCCTTATCATTGTCGTAATCATTGCCACTGTTACATTCGTCAATAATGACTTTTGTATCATGGTGTAATCGTAGCTGTAATCACTCACATTGACCATCACCACAATCATCTTGATATCATTTGTCAGGACTCCACACACAATGCACAAAGTGTGTTAGTGTGTAGGTGGTTTTGTTTATTTTAATAGCTTGACAAACTGTCAGATGCCTGCTCGCGCGCACACACACACACACACACACACACACACACACACACACACACACACACACACACAAATATATATGTATACAAAGTGAAGACTCGTGGGTTTGTCTTCTCCCCTGCTGATAACCAGGCAGGGAAAGCCGTCTCTGAATCACACACGCACCCCTCTGTTTATCCCTCCCCGCCCCCAGATTGTCTTCTGCAGTCATGTATGAGCACCCAGAGTAGTAAATGATTGGAGTTGACAGGTTGGAGGGACAGAGGTTGGGAAGGAAGAGAGTGGCAGGGAGAGAACAGGAGTGGGTGAGACGGGGAATAAGGGAGAGAGAGAGAGAGAGAGAGAGAGAGAGAGAGAGAAGTGGGTGGAGTGGGTTGGATGTGCAGGGGTCAGAGGTCATTGGGCATTTTGAGTGGGCAGTGGGCACAGTGTGGACTCGGACCAGGCATAGAGAACAGACTCAACAAAGCCACACATGCCTACTGTTTGTGTACCTACTTGTCCGCCTTTTTGTCTCCTCCATCTCCGTTTTATCTTTCTGAACTCTCTTTCACCCGCCTCTCTCTATCTCAGTCTCATTGTTTCATCTGTTGACTTCACCCAATTAGAGTGTAATAGAATTACGCATACGTGAACGTAGCTTGCCGTACATCTTCATTCTGTACTGGATGTCTTTTGCTCCCTACAGTTCTTTTCTTTTGCCTTTCATTTGATTTCCTTCCTCCTCCTCCTCCTGTTTCAGTTTGCCTGTGAATACAAAACATCCATTATTCTCCCTGGTCTTGTCTGACCTACAAGTCCTCTACCAATGTATGCACGCACGCACGCACACGTACACACACACACACACACACACACACACACACACACACACACACACACACACACACAGATATCAAATACGGGACCTTACTGATACTGGTGTACTGTCATTATTTGCTTATGGTTGTCTTCTAGAAAGTGTCTTCGTCATTACTCCGTCAGCAGGAATCGTGTTCAGTTCTGAACCTCATAAATAATGTCTGCGTAATAACAGAATGTTTGTAAAGGCTTTAACTATAGTCTTTAATAGATTGGCATTGCATTAGTTTAGGCAGAGCAGTATCAGAAGACTCTACGATCACTAATCACATTTAAACATCCAATGAGACAGACTGATTTCTCTCCTGGCCTCCTCGTGTTCTGGTTTCTTACTCGCAGTGCTGGAAACTTGACTTCTTTAAATGGAGTTATTCAACAATGTAATGTAATCTGTACTGGACAATGTTGTATTGAGAGGTATGTTTTGTTGTTTGCATTTCAATACATGAGGGGGCAGAATTGGAAACACCTACTAGACCCCTAATTCAGATCACACCACCACTAACTATGACCTCATTGATAAAACATATCATTGAATTAACCCCTCTCTGACAGTGTCAACAGAAACCGAACATTATAGTCATCATAATATAAAAGTAGACTTAATGGCAGAAATAGTTGCATTAGATTGTACAAGTATACCTAATAAAATGGCCACTGAGTGTATACTGTTAGATAATTGAATATATATAAATGCATGTAAGTTGATCACATTTAGCTTCAGCTGTCAGATGTATAAAGATGCATAAAATGGACAGGACAGTAGAACATTTTCACATTTCTCAGTATCGTTATCCATTCTCAAAATCATGTGTCAGTCGACTCTAAAACATAAGCTTGAATGAGTTGTTATGACGTCCCTGATTAAGATAATGATAGACACTGATCTCCTGCGCCACATTCGGACATTCACGTGTTCTTATTCTGTTCTATATTATTTTGTTGTCAGGGTTCAGTGTGTATTTACCCACTCTCGGCACCCTTTCTACATTGCCTTGTTCTCAGTGAGGGTTCTGTGTTTGAGGGATGTCATTACAATTCCCTTTGTTTCACAGTGTGGTCGGTTGTGAAGCCCTTTGAGATTGAGGCTACGAGCTGTATACATAAAATTGATTTAAACAGCAGTGGCTCAGCAACAAGTTAGCAACAAAATTTTGTGAACAAGTGGTTTGGAAGCCAAAATGAGACATTGAAAGGTATAAAGATATTCCACTAAGGAGGAAATTACAGATGGGAAATAATGGCAGACAAAAGGGAAGATACGTGGGAATGTAAAAGTGAGGATGGAGATCTCACAAAAAGTCACCATTTTAGAAAACCTCTTTGAAGATTCTCAGTCATCCAGGTCATAGTTATCCAAAGAAGGTTAAAGTCAAGGGCAACTTCCCTTTTGTCTGCCATTATTTCACATCTGTAATTTCCTCTTTAGTGGAACCAGAGACGTTTACTTCCGACTCCAAAGAAATAAAGAAAATTATCTTCTTGATCCTATTGTACAACATGGGAATTTGATAGCGACATTCTTAAAATGTATGGTGAATCAGTGAAACTTGTGTGTGTGTGTGTTAATAGATATGTTCTATTGACTCTAAGGACGGCAATGTCAGTCTACCATTAATTAGTAAATGTTAGCATGCTGCCACGATAAACTAAGATGGTAAACATTATACCTGCTAAACCGCAGCATGTTAACATACTGATGTTAGCACTGCTCTACCTAAATACAGCCTCACAGAGCTGCCAGCTTGGCTGTAGGTCCTTAGTCATTTATTTTACTTAGACAGAATTATTAGTCATTATTAGTAAAATATATACATATCTAAAGGTAAATGCATATTTTGTGCTGTCACACCAAAGGTTGTGAGCGCATACCAGTCCTACTGTATATCACTAGCTACCTCCCATTTAAACAGCTGTACAGCCACATGTAAAGATGAGGGAAAGATGATTGCACAGACTGAGCTTTAAAACCCTCTGGACTGATTTGTAATGGGAGTTAAAATCATCTGGGACAGACGAAACACTCTCGGCCCATTTCTTTCTCATTTACTCTTCTTCTCTTGCTCTGTGTTCTCAGTCCCGCTTGGACTCTCACTTGTTTTTAGCGTTTCTTCGCGTCTTCATTGCTCTGTCCATATCTCTGTTTTTTGTCTTTACATGACCCTTCTCTTTCTCCTTGTTGTTGTTATTATTAAGACTAATTCCCACTGGCATTTGTAACTGTAGTAACAGCTTTACTCTAGGGCTTTAGACCTTTCTTTAACACAGGGTGTATGTACAGGGCCATATACTCCAAGCCTGACACAGGCAGGAATCCCCATGATTTCATGAAGAAGCTGTGACGCACCTGTACCGAACTGGTTCCAAATCGTACAGCTGTATAAACAATCACTATAATTTGGCATACATTACTTTTTCGGTAGTGTTTTATTAAATCTGGTTTGCAGCATGGAACGGATCTCTAGACTATACAAATATCTAGCAGCTACTGCTTCACTCTTACAGGCCATTTGACACACTGTGTATGGGCGTCTGTCCTGTACCGATTGTGTTTTTCCATTTGAGAGCTCAGGTCTAGTAATGACTCATCTGTGGTCAGTGGTCTGCGTCTTCTCTCCTAATTCCCTCTGTCTTTCGCACACTGTCTGTCTGTTTCTCTGCTCTCTGACACAACACTCTCTTTATCATCTGATGTCTAATCATATACACATCCGTTGGCACATCTGTCTGTGTGTGTTACCTTCAAAATGAGTTTATGCAGGATCCCTCAATACTTACATTTACACAGTCCTCTTAATTTACTTGTTCTGTTTGCATATCAGATTAAGTATAGATGTTGAGTTTTGTGCTCTTCTTTGATGTGTTCACCAGGGTTTGTTTTTCATTTCACACCCACCCTTTGTAGGCATGAACAGTGACAAACTCTGTGGCACTCCTTAACAATGGCACAATACTTTAGCTTCATTAAAACCTAATGCATTTTCCTCCTTCATAGCTTGTATTGGATAGAGCTCTGAAATGTTTTGCATGTTATAGGCAGTACCTATACATATGGGAAATATTAGCTCAGTAAATCTGGTTTAGTCTATGATTCATTGCCTAAATGTGAACGATCTTGTCCCTTCTTCTGTCTGTCTCTCTTTCTCAGTGCCGGATGCTGTGTAAGGACGTGTCAGCTGAGACCATGTACGACGTTCTCCATGACATTGAATACAGAAGGAAATGGGACACAAACGTCAGTGAGACCTTCGATATCGGGAAACTTACGGTCAATGCGGATGTTGGTTACTACTCATGTATGTCACACACTTCCATGTTAACATGTGCTGCTTTTCAAAAAGCGTTTGTTTGATTGATCTGCAATGTTTTGTTCTGATTTGTTTGTAACAGGGAAGTGTCCGAAACCTCTTCGGAACCGCGATGTCGTCACACTTCGCTCCTGGCTGCCCATAGGGAAAGATTACATCATCATGAACTACTCTGTCAAACATGCCGTGAGTACACACAACCCCACATGAGGCTTACACATGCACAGCTGGGGCCCTGCTCATTCACCCCTCTTATAACTTGGTGCGTATGTGTTCAAAGGTGCATTGTGAAACAAATGGCCTGTTTAGAAATGCACACTGGGTGAGCCGACATGAATGTGGATTTAGTTCAGCAAGCTTAAGAGCATTGTGCTGTATGAAAAGAAATCCTTAAATATTTGTAGAAATAAAAATGCTTGTGTGAGTCAGTCAGTCAGTCATGTCAAAGTCTGCTCATCTTATACTGTACCATTGCATCCATGAACAAAACTGTTTGGCACCTTTCCACAGACAGAGCACTCCTATACCTCCTCCCCTTGATGCTTTTACCTGGGAGAATAATTGACTGATTCAGTTCAAGTGTAGGATAGGTAATTTGAATCAGTTAAATACATTGCGTTTTCAGTTTGGCTTCTGGTTGTGCATTTTAAGAACCTGAGTCATCTGAATGCCCAAGGCCAGTAAAACAAACTTTGAGACCATGTGAGTGACTTTGGCTCTATTTCCTGTCCAACTAGAAGAAGAGGACACGAATCGCTATCACTATCACTATCACTTGTAAAAGCTTGTACTCATCACCTCTCTCTATTGCTTTAAACTATTCTCTGTATTAATGGATGGTCTGGTTTATAAAATATGAAAAAAATAGTGAAACACTGACTAACAGTCTAAAACCAAAGCATATTCACTTTACTATCACACAAAGACTCACGACTGAGAAGCTGGAACCAGACAATGTTTGGCATTTTTGCTAAAATTACTTCTCCTCTATATTTGTGTTTCTTCTCTGTCTTTCTTGCATTTGTCTGCCCTCCCCACTCTCTTTTTCTCCATGTCTTTTTCCCTCTCGGTTTCTAATTCTCAGTTTCACTCACTCATATAATGTTTACAAAAGGATAAGACCGCTCATGTGACTGTTATTAGCTGTTAACTTCCGCCTCCCCTTCCGCATTCCTGCATCAATAAGTGATTACGAACATAATAGACTGTGTGTATGTGTGTGTGTGAGACTCAGACTGTGTTAGCCAAGGTCGCTCTTAATAATCAGTAGAATTTGAGAGCTTTTCTTGTGGAGTACAGCTTAGGAAGATCCTTAGTAGAGTGCTGAGTTCAAGCGTCCACCACCAGGAGTCAGTCCACTTATACTGTGTTCAACACTACATTTCATCTGCATCCTTTAACATGATTAAGAACAACTTCTTTCATACATTTGGAATGTTTTTAGCCAGTAGTCTTTGAGATCCAGCTGACACCGCCCTTCAGTAACTGTGGTTTGCTCTACTGCAAAACTTGGCGTTGGTTAATTTGTACTTGCAAGAAAGATGTATATATTTATACTCTAATTACTATGTTATTTGATCTATGGAGTACTTTTATAGCCACAATGGCAGCATGGTAGCAGTGTCGGCCTGTCAGTTGGTCCACAACTTTGGTGGATTGGATGAATGAAATTTTGTACAGACATCCATGATCCCCAGAGGATGAAAATTCCTGACTTTGATGATACCTTGACTTTTCCTCTAGCTCCACCATGAGGCTGACATTTTTTGTGTTTTAGTGAAACATCTCAACAACCACAGGATGCAATGCCATGAAATTTGGTTCAGATATCCAGGGCGCCCAGAGGATGAATCCTAATTACTTTGGTGATCCACAGATTTTTTTTATTTAGCGTCAACATCGGGTCAAAATTTTTATGTATCCAGTACTTTGGTTCATGACTATGAACCATGACTAATACCTGCAAAACGAATGACATTCCCGTCAGCCCCCGCTGTACTTTGTGTTTAGTGCTTACTTGCTAATGTTAGCATGTTGACATGCTAAATTAAAATGGTGAACGTAAAATAGCTCGTTTGGTCTGACCAATGGCCAAAAAACACAAAGTTAAGAAAATGCGCCTGCCCATACGCTGCCCAAAGTACTTGTGGGAGCCTTACTCCTTAGTAACCCTAAAGGAATTTTATTAAAATATAGTTGTTTTTGTACAAGAACATATCAGATTACGACTCAGCAAAATCAAAACAATACAAATAACACACCAGAATGCCCACTGTCTAGTGTCCAATAATTTGCCTAACAGAGTCCATTAACATGGCCAACGTTGCTGTGGGTCCCACACATGTCATAAGATAAGGAGTTTCATGGTATGGTGGATGTGTCAGAACTGTAGAGACATACCTCATTGGTGACTAATGCTTAAGATTTCCTGTAGTCTCTTCTACAGTTGAGCCAAGAACATTATAATGTTGTCCCTAATGTCCCAGAAACCTGCGCATGAAAGCTTTTATTGTACTGCAAAAAAAATGTAACTTGTTAGTAAAATATGAGACACACAATAAAGCACTTATCTGAAGTTCTCCTTTGATAAAAGGTTCTTTAGCTGACTACTGCTCCGTGTGCTTCTTAAGTTCTCTGCAGTGTGTCTGTCCCAGTTAGCGCAGGCTAACCAGCGCTGTACTTTATCATCATGAATAATAATCCTTAGATATATAGTCAAAGGAGCTAGCAGTGGAATAGTGAGCTTGAGCTGGCCTTTACTGCTGCGTTATTCACAGGGTAGTGTGTGGACTGAATTTGCATCAGAAAGATGACTGTGGAGCAGAAAATGAGATTGGCTGGCTGCAGACAGATACAACACAGAAAAACACTCCGGTGCTTATACTGCACAACTTATGTCGACCATTTGATGGGTGGTCACAAGGAGCTCAAGACCCAGTGTTTTTAGCGTTTATTTCTGAGTGGGTGCATGTGTGTATTTGTAGCAATCACTGGTGGGTAATTACTTTGGTTAAAGTGTATACAATGTATTTTATATTAATTAAAACTGGAGCAACCAAAAATAGATTTTGGTTGAAGGCTGGTGGCACATGCACTGAATAATAATGATGATGTTAGTTCTAATAAGAATCTGTGTGTGTGTGTGTGCGCGTGCATGCGTGCGTGTGTGTTGTCTCTACAGAAATACCCTCCTAAAAAGGACATTGTGCGAGCTGTGTCCATTCAGACTGGCTACATGGTCCAGTGCCAGGGACCCAACCAATGTATCCTCACTTACATGGCCCAGGTAGATCCACGAGGTAACTACTAGACGCATGCACACACACACACACACACACACACACACATACACACACACAGGTGCACAACGCATGCTCAAAGTTGTAATGAATGATTCATTGCCCTGCCTTTATGTCAAAATGAGTCGCCATAGTAACCATATGAAGGACAGAGCCTATTTCCCTCTGCCACCTCTCTCTTGCGCCATCCCTCTTCCCTTCTCTTTTTTTCTGTTCATTAATCTTTCCCTCATGTTCTCCCTCTAATTCTCTCCTTTACTGTCAGTCTTTGCATGCAAGTGCTCAATGTGTAAATCCCTTTTAATCACTGATTTGGTGTGTGTGTGTGTGTGTGTGTGTGTGTGTCATCTGCTTGTAGTGAGTTACAAAGCTTAACTTTGATCATAACATGTGCTAAAGCAAACTTGAAATACCTTTTTTATATATATATATATATATATATCTTCCTCATCCTCCTCTTCTACACACATTCTCTCTCACTTTCATTCTCTGTCATCCTCTCACATTTCTCCATTTTCTTCTGTGCTCACTCTTGTCTCTCTCTTTGCAGGTTCATTACCAAAGTGGGTTGTCAACAGGTCTTCCCAATTCCTTGCACCTCGCGTAAGTCATTTGCAGATTAACTCTGATTCTGTGAGTGTGTAGTGTGTATATTGACGTGTTAATCCACAGGCGCTGTGCACTGAGGTTAAGCACATCAAAGTGCATGTTGAATTGAGGAAAATGTAGACCGTATATGTGTATATAACGTATAATCTCTCCTACACATTCCATAAACACACTGTTTACTTTTTGTCTGAGGGTGTGTGCATATTGGTTGAAATAGGGCAAAGATTCTCTAGAGATCATCCCGGGATGGAGGAATCCCTTGATGATGGTCAGAAAATAGCAGCTCAGTGAGCAGCTCAGTGAGACGCACCAATCCCCCTGAACATAATTGTGCCGATGACTTCAACACATTAAATACAAGAATACATTTCTGTCTGGGTTTTATAATTTAAAAAAAAAATTCAGTCTGCCTTATCTGAGCATTAGACAAGTGAATTTTATTGGCAATGCATTCAAGTACATCTTTTCCTTTCTGTTTGCTGAAGTTTTTGATGATCAATACATCTATAAAAAATAAACAAGTATGTTCTCTTTCTTGCATTTCTGTTTTGTTCTTTTTAGGCAATGAAGAAGATCAACAAAGCCTGTTTGAAGTATCCGGACTGGAAGCAGAGACACAATCCCGGCTTCAAGCCCTGGCTCTACCCCGAACAGACTACGTTACCCAGCATCCCACTCTCTGAGCTCAGCATCCAGCATGCTGAGAGCCTAGAGAATATTGATGAGAGCTCCGTGGCTGAGACCCAGGAGAGAGAAGACAGCGACTAACACACACATGCACATGCACATGCACATACACATGCACACAAACAGTAATGCAGGGTTAAATGCATCCCTGATACACATCCATAATTATACGTATGTATATGTGATTCTCTATGTAAATATGTGTGTGTGTGTGTGTGTGTGTGTGTGTGCACACATACTTGCATTACATACTATACATGTATGTAAGCACTCATGCATCCAGACAAACTCATACTTGACCAACTTGATGTCATATTTTCATACATAATGTATGAACACATGCATATACAGACATGCAACATAGATGCACTCACAGATACACACCCACCCACTTACAAGGAGCACGAAATGACTTATTTTAATACGTCTGTAAACGAATATTAATTGTAATCAGAAAAGCTCCTGTAAGTGTGATTTTTCATGCTTGTTAAAGAGATTCTAATTGGGACCTATGCAGATTTTTACAGCAAAACAAACCTTCAGTAAGATTTACTGACTAAATGTTCACAAACAAACCTGCACATCCTGCTGTCATTCAAAATTTGAGCAGTAGATTTCAGAATGATGCTATCCTCCTTTATCTGCGGGTTATGTCTACAGCCCAGCTAGTGCAGCCCCAAATGCTCATGTATACAGCAAAGGACATACCTGTGTACACATGTGGACACATGCCATTCATTTATGACATTTATGCACTCATACATGTATACACACTCAGTTTGTGTCTTTCTGCCCATGTTGTGTCTCTGTCACTCATTATGTGCCTCTATCACATTTTGTAAGCACATGATAAAAATATGCAGGTGTACAGAAGGCAGCTGGAACCTCCAACCCAACCTGCGACCCTCTCATTCACCCACCCACACACACACACACATACACACACATACACACACAGACACACATACAGATTTTACACTGACATGTACTGTCTGCTTCTCTATTTGAGAGCTGTGTGAATGTATGTAGAGTTTAAAAAATTAAATACAGATTCCTACAAAGGTTTTCAAATTTCACCCGTGAGCTGAGTCCTTTTTTCTCCTGTGCATGCTTGTGCTGATGTTAAAATGAGTATTAAAAAAATCATTGACCTGATTAGGTAGTTGATCTGCTCTCTTTCACACATTGTTTCAGTCTCTCTCACTCACTCACTCACTCACTCACTCACACACACACACACACACACACACACACACACACACACACACACGCGCACAAAAAAACATTGATTTTAAAACTGCACTGCTCTGATCAGAACAGCGAAACACCATGACATGCAACCTATTGATAAAGACTTTATCACTCACTGGAAAGGGTGCATGTGTGTGTGTTTCATTGATTGCATGCACCCCATGTAGCATATGTGCGATGGCCTAGATCGGAATTAGGAATCCCCCAATCTGTTGGCATGGCAACTCTGAGATCGACTCAGCACCAAAGGGAAACGCAGGGAGAGCTTGCATGTGACAGAGGAAGTGACTTATTGTAGGGTGTAGACTATATATACTGTAAATGCACCACGTGTTCAACGGCTACAATTTCTGTCCCTGTCGTGGGTTAATTGGTTGACCTGACATTTGTCTTGCCTAACACCCTCACACACCGTAACATAGCTTAAGTGTGGCAAAAGACTGCATTAAATCTATTGGATATACATAAGGTGAACTTAATTTAAGCTCCGTGAAGCTATCTCTGTGTGAGTGTAAGAGGCGCATCATGGCATGGCATTGTACATTTATTTTTTTTCATTTTTTTTTGCATGTCATCCTCTCTGACTGTTCCCTTTTTTACAACATCTGCCTCTGCATATGATGCACCACCTAATGAAATATGAATGATGAAGGAAAGAGTATGCGAGAGATGCAATAATGCATGAGGTGTATGCAGCTCTGGTGTTCTGTCCTTTATTTATTTTTATTTCTCTCCTACAGCTGCAGTGACGTGTTTATCCCTCTACCCTTGTGTATGACCATCCATCCATCCTCAGTGTCTTAATGAGGCCTCTCGCTCAGCCTTCATCATTATGTGTGTGTGCGCGTGCATGACTGAGGGAACTGCGTGTTCCAGTGGCATCCCTGTATTGTCTTCCACCCGCCTCCACAACAGCAGGAGGACACATATAAGCAGCATGACGGCCGGCATCCCCCCGTGTGTGTGCTCCTGCATATGTGTCACCCTGCCACCCACACAGCAACCCAGCCCGCCGGTGCTGATAGCCTGGTGATGACTCATCACCACCTCCTCCTCTCGCTCACCCCTTCTTGTATTCTACCCCTACTCTTTTTCTGCCCCTTTATCGTCTGCTGCTCATCCTTTTCTCAGTTTCTCCTCTTCTCTGACCTGTTTCTTTTCATCTTCCTCGTCCCATCCTGTCATCCTCTCATCCATCCTTTCATCCACTTCTCATCCAGACCTCTTCTCCTTCGTCCTCCTCTCTTCTTCAGTTCTTTCCTCTCCTCCCATTCCCCTCTTCTCCATCTCTTCCTCTACCTCTCTTTTCTTAACCCAAACCATTTGTTCTCCTCCATTTATTCCCAAGTTGTCTCCTCTCCAGGCTTGTTCATTTATTGCTCCTTTTGCTTTCTTTTTTCTGCTCTTTTCTCTTCCTTCGTCTTCAACTTTTACTCTCGGTCTGTCCCTGCAACGCCTCACCTTTTACCACCCGTTTCCTCCATCTGTCACCTTTCATCTCCTATCCTTCTTCCATCTCCTTTCACCAAGCTTATCTTTCCGGCACAGTCCACTGATCTTTCCCCAGGGTCAGAAATAAAATGAGTAACACACTGCCAAGTCACTGACATGTTACAGACTCAGTATATTGTTCATCCAGGCTCCTCAAGGCTAAAATATTACCCTTTTACTCATTAAGTCTTTGGGGCAACAGGGCCCCTGACTGTGAGATGAGGGAACACAACACATTTAATCACGTGTGACACACAAAGGCCAAAATAATATGCATATTCCCCTTCAGCTCTCTAAAAAACACGATAAACAGTTGAGGTTTAACAGAGCGTAGTGACAAATGTAGCCTTTTTTAATTCATGTAAAATCGCAAGTGGGTTCATGAATGCTTTATGTTTCCTGGTACATCATGATGTCCGGTGTGACTGTGAAGTTATCGGTTCCAATTTGGTCTAGCTCATGATTTTTATTGCATGCCATCCCTCCCTCTCTGTCAGTTGCTTTCATCCTGCTGACTCTCTTAAGTGTAGCTGAAATTCAATCAAAAGAAATCCTCTTTAATAATTTAAGTTCTGTTTAGATGCAACATCCTCTTTCTACTGCAAATGCTGTTTTCCCTTTAGTACTTTGTGCATTTGGAAATTCTCTCTGAGGCTCGATAGCTTGATGGTGGTTGCCCTCTTCTGGTTCCTATGGGAGCATACAACTAACAAATCAGCAGCCTGTCTGATTCAGTACCGATCTGAATGCCACATCACTGCCACTTTCATAAAAATAAGGGTTACTAAAATATTTCTATTCATGGTCACAGACTGTATGACTGTTTCCAAGATTATAACTGTTTGTACTGTAAGTAATTAAATAACTGCTCCTCATTTGACTTTTATACTACAGTAACTGTTTTGTTTGTTTCTTTTGATTTTGTGATTAAAAGTATGTAAATCAGTGACTGGCGAAAAACAAAAAACCCTTCACCCTGCAATTTACTTAATTTTGTATTTTTATATTAATACTTTTGCTCCCCAGATGAAATTATGTGTAAATAGTGGATGTTTTGTCATGTAGTTTGTGTCTCAGTGAGTTAATGATGCAATTTTCAATTTCTGTGTCATTATCTTCTATCATAGTGTTTAAATATTTTGTAATCTATGGATTTATAATCAGAATCAGAATCTGCTTTATTGCCAGGTATGTGTACACTTACAAGGAATTCGACTCAGGATTGTACATTGCTCACGATGTGCTTACTCGTACAAAAATACCATAATATAATAATAAAATAAAATCAGACACAGTATAGACAACACTAACATACACACTATGAACAAAACCATATAGACATATTGACAAATAGTGCCGTCAATCTGCAATAGGTATATATTCTTTACAAATAACAGCCTTGTGTGAGGTGAACTTGTTAGTGAGAAATAGTGGGATAATACCCAGTTAAAGGGCATTTGCATGAGAACAGACAGGGCTGTCCAGTGTTTTCCAGTGGTCACATGAGAGCCGTGCGGAAGTTTGAGCAATTTTGCTGCGTCAAGCTAATGTCAACTAGCCAGCGAAGCACCGGAAATACGGGTACTACCCTTAAAATTAAAACGCTACATAATTGAATGTCAGTGAATGTATTTATTTAGAAATGGATATCCGGAAATAGTATTCTTATACTTACTCTATCTTTACACTGCCTGCCTGTCTGAACTGTTGCTGCTACTGCTTTTTATCCGTGTGAAAAATGTTATCCGCTATTTGGCGTCGCAGTTGTGGCCACTAATCTCACCTCAGAAACAAAAAGTCCGCATCTTTTAGTGAGTTGGCACACTTAAAAGATTTGAAAAGGTAAGTGATTTAAAACTTTTCATTCTCCCAAGAGAAACTTTAACGTTACCAGAGCAGCTGATAAAAAAGAGACTAACTTAACCTCACAAAACCCCGCAAACACTGGAGTGGTTCAAACTGAAAATTGTGCTGTCTAGTGTACATTCACGCGCTGACAGACAGCTTGACCTGCCGCGGTGAAGACAACATTGGCGAAGCTGGAGAAAATCACCAGTGAAACGTTTCAAAACAGAAACAGGTTTGTGAATAGACCGCTAGTCGAGTCCAGCTCTGTTTTTAGCAGCTTAGGCTACTAATTAATAAAAAAGAGGAAATAATTCTGGAGATTCAATTGGTCAATGTGAACTTTGGGTTTGGTTGTTCTTCCCAGCTGCCACAGGCTGCTTTGTTATTTTTCTGGTGAAAGCGGGGGGGAAGATGGACTTCCAACGAACCTGTTTATCAATTGAATTAACGAATTCAGTATTTTTAACATAGGTGCATGGATGAATTGACTATGAAACCGTTCAACTAAACTTACAGATGGATAGATAGAGTAATTGGTCAGGAGAGCCTATCGTATGCATATTTTTAGAGATAGACTTGTGACAGGTGGATCAGCATTTTTAGACCTAATGCACGGGTTTTTACACTTTCTATGGTTCTATGCAATACCACTACAGCTACAGTAGATTACACAAACCCACTTAGTTGCTGAAGGTTGTTTTCTTCTGCTTTTTAAAAAAATACATATGTTATGCACTCTGGAGCAGGACTCCTGCTTGGGGGATTTCTTAGTTTATACATAGAGCTGATAAGGTGGGTGTGTTAATAGTGAAACCTATGCTATCAGATAAGTTAAGTGGAAAGTGATCTTTCTTTTCAGTGCTAATGCTTACTCTGTGCAAGCTAAAGTCATGGACGCAGACGTTTTGCATGTGGTTGAAAACCCTTAAAATAGAGTATAGTTTGCACGACTGATGTGCCCAGTAGACCCTTGAAATCAAACAATACATGAATTTGCGGATAGTTCTCTCAGAAGCAGAGCTCTTGAACCATGAAAATGACGTCTGTTGTGGTTAAACAGATGTCTGCTGCACAAGTCCAACAGTTACAAAAAAAATCTGAAAATCAGTGGTTTGTTCACTACTCTATTACAGGATTTAAGCAGGTCATATGACTTGCCAGGACCATATAAATGCATTTAAAGCAAGGATCAAGCAACTTGTGTGCCTAAAAAATGACCCACATAATGTTATTTTTGGGGGTCTGGCAGACGTCAAACAGAATCATGGCCCTCCTGACGTTCTTTTGTCTAGTAGTGGAAACTGGTACTGAGTACGCCTGTGACTGCCTGTTTTTGGCTTTCAAGTGTGTACTGTACCACATAATGTAGTGTCACAGGATGTTGTTTGTCAATCCACAGAGATAAGTGTCTCTCTACCCCTTAACCTGTGATTTTAGTGTCTACTAGTACAAGAGGTGCGCAATGCTAAATTGAGCCAAATCATAG